TCACTCGTTTTTTCTTATATTTACATTTAAAGTTGTGTACTCACCTAGTTGTGTTTGCGGGGGTTGAGCTCTGGCTCTTTGGTCCCGCCTCTCAACTGTCAATGAACTGGAAACAGTTGACAGTGTATTGAATTGGCTTAGACAACTTCCTCATCTAGTCTGTTTCACTTATTTACGATTCTTGGACTGAAAAGTTCTCTCTGACATCCCTGTGGCTCATCTGTTCCTTAATTTGAACATTGCTTCTATATATATTCTTCCGTGGTGTAGTGGTAAGACACTCGCCTGGCGTTCCGCGAGCGCTATGTCATGGGTTCGTATCCTGGCCGGGGAGGATTTACTGGGCGCAATTCCTTAACTGTAGCCTCTGTTTAACGCAACAGTAAAATGTGTACTTGGAAGAAAAAACGATTCTTCGCGGCAGGGGATCGTATTCCAGGGACCATAGGATTAAGGACTTGCCCGAAACGCTGCGCGTACTAGTGGCTGTACAAGAATGTAACAACTCTTGTATATATCTCAAAAAAAAAAAAAAATATATATATACTTTGTCAATCCCCCCTTAGTATCTTGTACGTCCTTATCATGTCTGCCTCGTTGCTTCATTCCTCCAGGGTAGTGAGGGCCCGGTTCCACCAGTCTTCATAGCTTATAGTCCCCTTAGCTCAGGAACGAACCTTGTTGCATATGTTTCGACCTTTCATAGTTTTGTTTTGATCATTTTGTGCCAAATTAAACAAAGAATAATACAATTATATTCATTTTTATACACATACGATGAAGTAGATCTGGTTCATCTTCACACACCAGAAGATGGAGAAACGACGATGTTTCGGTCTTGGATCATTATCAAGACGTGACAATGGTCCAGGACGGACCGAAACGTCGTCGTCTCTCCATCTTGTGATGCGTGGTTTAGCCCTCATATCTTCAGCCACGGTATTGTGACTCATCGTCTGCCTCTACATATACATTTACATAGATTGATTATTTTATATTCGAAGAATACTGTTTTTGTTTACACATTTCGTTAATATTTACGAGTGTGTCTTGGGGGGGGGGGGGGGCGAGCAGCAGCAGCTTGGGTGAGCCTGAACCGAGGTGTCTACATCCTGCCGTGTCTACCAGAGACATGGTAGATAGACACGGTCTAGGCCATGTCTACCGGAGACATGGTAGATAGACACGGTCTAGGTCATGTCTACCGGAGGCATGGTAGACACGATCTAGGCCATGTTTACCAGAGACATGGTAGATAGACACGGTCTACGCCATGTCTACCGGAGACATGGTAGATAGACACGGTCTAGGCCATGTCTACCAGAGACATGGTAGATAGACACGGTCTACGCCATGTCTACCAGAGACATGGTAGATAGACACGGTCTACGCCATGTCTACCGAAGGCACGGTAGACACGGTAAAAAATTAAAACCTGTGATATTTAACCTTTCAGAGCATCGGACTAGATAGGTTAAGTGGGTTGTTCGGGTTCGTAGTGTTGCAGTTTGATGTTTCAGGTTGTAGTTTGTGGCGTAGGATGGGGTTCAGTGATCTAGGTGGCATATATCTTATATTTATATATCCCTGTTCTTAGTCTGTCTCATATCCTTTCCAAGTGCATTCAATAAACACAACTTTCCAGTTATGTTTAGAAACTTTTGTTTTTTAATTTGTTGTCACGTTGTCACCGTTACAGTCCCGTCTTACAGGTAGATACATAATGGACCAGTAAATTTACACCTTAAGCTTATATACCAGTCAGAAGGTTTTTAATGTGTGTGTTGGAAATAGAAGGTGGAGAGGACTAAGTCTGGAACAGGTGTGTGAAGGAGAGGACTAAGTCTGGAACAGGTGTGTGAAGGAGAAGACTGGGTTTGGAACAGGTGTGTGAAGGAGAGGACTGGGTTTGGAACAGGTGTGTGGTGGAGAGGACTAAGTCTGGAACAGGTGTGTGGCGGTAAGGAGAGGTGCAGCGCTGGCGTGTGTGAGGGCGTGGCCAGAATGGGCGCATTGCAGCCGGCGTTGCTCATCTGTCTGGTTACAGCTGCGTGTGGGCGCCTGTTGTGCTACAACGGTGGCCGCTGTGTCTACAACCGGTGCATCTGTCCCCGAGGCTTCTACGGGTCCCGCTGCCAGTATGGTGAGTACACACCTGTCGCCCGCACCTGTTGCTCGGACATACTTGTCTCGTTCACCTGTTTCTTCTCCCTGCCTCCTCGTGCACCTGTTTTCCCCTTGTCATGTACACGTGTTAATGTGTCACGTAGGCCTGTTCTCCACTTCGTGAGCACCCTGGCCTGGTTGATAGCCTCAAGTGTCACGCATTCATTTTCAAATGCCCCGATGATCCATGTAGATGGTCAGATAACCATTTGCGCCTATGGTAATTGGGCACTTGGTTTGGGAGAAAACTCGTTAGGCAAATCAGAGACGGAAGAGCAGCCAATTTCCCGTTCCTGTCCCACGCTGTTGCAAGGCAGAGGAGAAATGGTCGTTGAAATAAGAAAATTAGCCCCGCTCCCCACATCTGAGGAACTGTAGGAGGTATTTTGGTGGACTGCCAAAGGTGAACTGCCTTGTATCTTGTAAGCTGTAGCAGAATTTTATAAATAAATGTATCATAAAAGTATGTGGATGGTAGAAGACAGTGAATGAGGCTTCGTAGAACACAAAAATATTCAGGAAGAACCAGCATGTTCTTCCGTGAACCCATCTTGTGCTCAACGCACTACACAGCCTCGCACCACTACCAGAAGTGACAACCTTCCACACACACTCATATCTATATTTTGTAATATGTATTTAACATGTTTTAGAAGCATTATTCATTAGTAATTCTAATGGGATTCATTATTAATTCTAGCATGAATCTTCATATTTTTAATATTATTTTTATCTTGCGAATGAAGTTGAACATTTAATTCTGCAAAGTTTAGGTTGAAATTTGATTGAGCCTGTCGATATGGACTCGTTTCAGTGAAGTTTTCTTCGACATGTTGACCAGACCACACATTAGAAGGTGAAGGGACGACGACGTTTCGGTCCGTCCTGGACCATTCTCAAGTCGATTTTCTTCGACATCTTCAGAAGGAAACTAAGTATAAGTTGGCAAAACTGATATTATACCATGTATTGTAGGGCGGGATGGCGTCTGAAGCAGTGGTCTCATTGGTCAGTGTGATATGAGCTGTCAGTTCTCTGTTGGTCGTCTAGGTGGAAGGATGTACCCAAGCGTGAGCTTTGAATTGAAATTGAAATAAGTTTATTGAGGTAAAATACACTCAAAGGGATGAGGTAGCTCAAGCTATTCTCCTCACCCCGTTCAGTACATCGTGTTAATATATACATAGACACATATCACAAACAATAAACATATTACCAAACATTCTGAGAGATAATCATATACATTTCCCAAGTGTGAGCTGCCTGTTGATTGTTGGGTGAGAGTGATTGGTATGTCGTGCTTTGGCTACGTCCAATCTTTAATTGTCGTGTTATCTGTCGACTATTTCGCTGTTGCTGGTCAGGATATTGAATGTATTGGTCTGTTGCAATTTCCTCTTCTTAATATATGCTAAAAAAATAGCATTCAAGAATAATATTTTAAATATTTGTCTTATTTTTCAAACTGGAGATCAGTTTGGGTAAAATGCAACAAAATTTGCTTTTTTCCTTAAGGTCAAATTTCCTTATAGAATTACCAAATTTAAAACTTCAAATAAATGCAGTCGCCTTGAATTACACACAAAAATTAGCATTCGAGAATAATATTTTAAATATCTTATTTTTCAAACGAGATAAATTTAATGCAGCCTAACCCAAGTGGTCATGGGGACTAAATAAATAATCCTAGGCCTAATATGCTCCATCCTAAGCTTAATTGTGTGCATATATATGTTACACAAGACCTACGGAAGCCTTGAACTATATGTTTAACACATCTCTAACCTTGTCCATGGAGGACAGAAGAAAATGTATATATGCTGGTTAGCATTGTAAATGTGTGGCCACGTCTGTGGTAGAAAAACAAACTACGTAAGTTTTATGTTTGGTTCTTCCCTTCTTTCTCTGCTCTTTACATAATTACTACAACATGTGATTTTCGGAGTGTGCAACAGTCGATTTTGTACTTTCGAACAATAGTTGTTGTAAGTACTATCATTTTCGGATGACAGGTTGAGATTTTAGCAATCGTCCAACACTGTTTGGCTGTTTTCTTGAAGATCGTCTCTGATACTATTCTAAAAGTATTCACTAAAATCTTTAGTCCACGGCAAATGTTAATTTGAGAGGAAGCATTATAATTCAGATGGTATTCTTAATTATGAATGAATTCAAATTATTCTGAATTATGCCAAATTCTGAATACTGAATGAATTCAAATGATGCAACAATAAACATCATTTGTAATGTTAGCAGCTCCCAATGGTTTACCAAAAGCAGCACGCCATGCCCTCCTAGCCTCGCTCAGATTGGTCGAATACGATATCGCCAATCACTCCACCAATCGTCAAATGACACGTGGCAAATAGCCATTGGTCAGCCAGGTGCGCCTGCTCGTAGGAGGAGCTTAACTCGAGGCGCCATCTTTTATTGCAGAAAAATTAAATACAAATATTTGAAAAAAATGGTACAACCTAATATAATAATACTTCTTTATGGTTACCTTAATAATACTTAAACCTGAAACATTAGGAAATATTCGGGTTACGTTTTAGCTATTAGACTCGAAAGGAGCAGAAGAGCATCATGATGCATGGAAAATCATGATGCTATTAACCACAGACAAATATTATTCTCATATATTCAGTAAAACTAATGTTATTATTTCGAGAGAAAACGTAGAAAATTAATTGTAATCTATTTCTAAACACGTAATTCTCACTTTTAATCTCTCTTAATTGATATGTTATTTATTACCAGGCTTTTTCTGTCCAAGTACTTTATTAATGACAATATAGTGCCCGGATGTTAATGGGGTGTGGTTGTTCCCACAGACCGGGACGAGTGCCATGGGGACAATGGAGGCTGTGACCACTCCTGTACCAACACTGTGGGCTCCTTCCAGTGCTGCTGCGGCTCCGGCTACAGACTCATGCCCGACCAGCGCTCCTGTCAGGGTGAGTGGCTCTTCTTCCCCTCTTACCTTGCGGTAATTCTGAGGATCAACGTCTCCGCGGCCCGGTCTCTGGCCAGGCCTCCTGGTTGGTGGTCTTGTCAACCAGGCTGTTGGACGCGGCTGCTCGCAGCCTGGTTGATCAGGCATCCTTTGGAGGTGTTTGTCGAGTTCTGTTTTTATCACCGTGAGAGACGGGTTCGCTATGCCCCTAATGCGTTAAACAGACGTTGATAGAGTTCTCTCTCAGAGTACCTGTTGCACCTCTGCTTTTCAACGGAGGTATTCTGCACATCCTGCCATGCCTCCTGGTCTCATGTGATGATATTTCTGTGTACAGATTTGGAACCTGCCCCTGTAATATATTTAAATGTGTAAATTATTATGTATCTCTCCCACCTGCGCTATAAAGAATACAAAACGAAAACGAATGTATTTTGAAAGGATAGTGGACATGCAACCAGTTCATAAACGTTTGGATGTGTGGTGTTCAGAGGATGCACCTTGGGCTCCGGCAAATTCTTCAATAGCGTCCACAACTCTTGAGGTGAATGGCATAGTATGTACCCACTTGGCAAGCGTAGATGCGGTCTTACCGCGACTTTTGAGTAAGTCTACCTGTGCTCCTCATTGGCCGCATTAGAACTTTATCTATGGTCATATCTGACCACACACACCAGCCCTGAATATGCTCCATCTGCGAATAGTGAAGAAGTCTTGAAGAAGAGTGAAGAAGTCTTGAAGAACAGTGAAGAAGTCTCCTATTCCCTCCCACTCTTCTCTCTCTCCCTTTCTAGCTGGCTACTTGGAATTTCAATTAATCTAGAGAGTGTAATATTGGTGATTATCACCTGGCTATCATCCCCCAACGGTGACAGCGGTCATTAGTTTGAGTTGTTATAACAGCAATTGGAAGGAATATGAGGACAGTGAAGGAATGGTGAGCTAACGCTAGATGCGAATTAAGCCGGCCCACACAGGAAGTCCCAGTAATGTACAATTTCTCACAGATTAATTAAATCTTTCTACAGTCCTGTCTGACACTAGGAAGATAATGTTGAAATTGATACACTTCATTTAAGGCATAATTGTTTTACTATGTTTATGTTAACGCCAACATAATGACAGCATAGTGGAGCCGGAAGAGCATAGTGCTCTTGACATACTGTAATTCTTATATTTGTAAATCACATTATTGTAGTATTATCTGTGTTAAGAGCGTGGTTGTGTCGACAGATGTGGACGAGTGTAACTACCATAATGGCGGATGTTCCCATGAGTGTGTCAATACAATGGGATCCTACCAATGTCGCTGCAGCCCCGGCTACCGCCTCCTATCTGATGGTCGCACCTGCGTTGGTAAGTCTCGGCCGCTGCCTATTATCTGATGGGCGTATCTGCATTAGTAAGTCCCGCCCAGCACTTCCTATCTGATGGTCGTACCTGCATTGGTAAGTCCCGCCCATCACTTCTTATCTGATGGTCGTACCTGCATTGGTAAGTCCCGTCGAGCACTTCCTATCTGATGGTCGTACCTGCATTGGTAAGTCCCGCCCATCACTTCTTATCTGATGGTCGTACCTGCATTGGTAAGTCCTGCCCAGCACTTCCTATCTCATGGTCGTACCTGCATTAGTAAGTCCCGCCCAGCACTTCCTATCTGATGGTCGTACCTGCGTTGGTAAGTCCCGCTCAGCACTTCCTATCTCATCGTCGTACCTGCATTAGTAAGTCCCGCCCAGCACTTCCTATCTCATGGTAGTACCTGCATTTGTAAGTCCCGGCTGTAACAAAACTCATCAAACATATTATAACAAGATCAGCATTGAGAAAATTTGCGGCCCCCCCCCCCCCACAAAAAATTATGCATACCATATTTTTCTGGGTTCAAAAATGTTTCCAAGGCCTTGAAACTTGATGTACATGTGGTGTTTAATTATGAAAATGCAATTTGGAAATGATTAGCTAGAAACTGCCCTCATAGTGATAACTTGTGTCATTTACAAAGTAACATGCAAGGATTGCAAGGTATTCTATTTAGGTCAAACATCCAAAGATTTGAAATTTCGAATTTCGCATCCATATTATGTAAGAAGTGGCCAAATATCTAATCAAATTGAAGGAGAGGTCCTCTTCAATAATAAAAAAATAAAAATAAATAAAATGTTTATTTAGGTAAGGTACATACATACAATAAATTTTTACAAAGATTGGTTGACTTATAGGAAGAGCTAGTACATACAATGCCTAAAGCCACTATTACGCAAAGCGTTTCGGGCAATAAGTCTTGCCCCTGGGTAAAATAACTTGTCATTATCGTTGTAAATTATCAAAGCCCTGTTCACCCATGTTTATTATCCTTATTACCTTCCAATTTATATAATTTATAATTACATGTATTAATAATTAAATTGATAAATAAACGGTGATGACAAGACGAACACTGTTATCTTGTTACACTGACCTGCACCCGTCAAGTGTAACGACTACAACGTTCTCGAGAAGAGAACGTTGTAGTAATTCAAATTCAAATTTTGAATTAATCTCTCTCCATTGTGTTACGCAGGCGAGGAGACGTGCGGGGTCAACAATGGTGGGTGCCAGCACTCCTGCAGCGACTCCTCCGGGCGGGTCGTCTGCTCCTGTCGCCCAGGGTACGTGTCCTGCTGGCCGGAACCACTGAGGCTGTTGTTGTTATAGATTCAGCTACTCGGAATAAGTTCCAAGTAGCACGGGCTATGGTGAGCCCGTAACTTACCTGACACAGGAGCGGGGCAAGTAGCACGGGCTATGGTGAGCCCGTAGTGGACTTACCTGGCACGGGAGCGGTCCCACTGAGGCGCCTCAGCCTTCAGGGCGCATGTACGGGGAAATATCAAGTGTAATAGATAGATATATATTTTTTTAATACAACAAAATATCCATTGGCGAATCTTTCATTTACAAATTGGTCCATCTCATTATGTTTATTTTTTGACCTAGATAAAAATGTGAAGAATCAAGACTCAAGTGAATAGTCACTTGATTTATGTTTCCGCATGGTAATTTGTTTTAAATGTAAAACATCAAGGAAACTAAAGTGACTCATTTGTCGGACAACGTATTGGCCAGACATAGCAATGGTCTGATACAGCAGTAGTCGGACAGTAATGGTTGGACATAGCAGTAGTCGGACAGAGCAATGGTTGGACATAGCAGTAGTCGGACAGAAATGGTTGGACATAGTAGTAGTCAGACAGAGCAATGGTTGGACAGCAGTAGTTGGACATAGCAGTGATTGGACATAGCAGTAGTCGGACAGAGCAATAGTTGGACATAGCAGTACTTGGACAGAGCAGTGGTTGGGCATAACAGTAATCAGACAAAACAATGGTTGGATGTAGTAGTCGGACAGAGCAGGCCATGATAACTTTGTTGTAGACATGATCACTGTCTTGGCTTGAAAAATCATCAGGACAAATGGGGAGGTCTTTGACAAGCTGCCAACTTCCTCATTTTAACCACAATAACCTTCTCAAATTCCAACATTATGGAGTCAGAGGTCATTCCCTTCAGTACTTACAATCTTACCTCAGTGACAGGCCGCAGTATGTGTCAGTGATGCTACTTCTCCCACTCTACCAATTAACATTGGCATCCTGCAGGGTAGTATACAGTACTTGGTCCACTCCTCTTTCTCGTGTATATGTATGTTATATATATATATATATATATATATATATATATATATATAAAATATATCAATTCCAATAAGGACTTCCTATTGGCAGTCCCTAATTCCGCCTTGGGCACCCGCCTGGACCATCGGGCCCTAAGTATTGGTGTTGCCCTGCACCTTGCCGCCCCTATCTCCACCCAACACCGGTATGTTTGCGGCCATGCACGGGCAGACCAATACGGCAGCCATGGTCTCATCTGTCGTAAGACACAGGGAAAGATTGCCAGACACGAAGCAGTCAATGACATCATCAAGAGAAGTTTGTCTACAGCTGTGTGTCCAGCACAAAGGGAACCCCAGTTGTGCAGACATGACAACAGCCAAAAACGCCCAGATGGAGTCACCCTGCAGCCGTGGAGGGAAGGTAAACAGGTCGTATGGGATTACACCTGTGCATCTACATTGGCTGATACCTATTTACGTTACAGCTCAGCGGAGGGAGGTGGGGCAGCCACCTTCAGGGAGACCCTGAAAATCCACAAGTACAGAGACCTAGAACGTTGTTACAGGTTCATGCCGATAGTCTCTGAGACTCTGGGCGCCTGGGGTAAATGTGCACTCAAGTTTTTAAAGGAGTTGGGTGAGGAACTCATTGGGAAAACTAGAGACCCACGAGCAGCCAGTTTCCTGTTCCAGCACCTCAGTGTCGCAGTTCAGAGAGGAAATGCATGCTGTATCCTGGGTACACACCCAACCTCCGAGAAGCTGGACGAGGTCTTCGAACACTGATTGTTTAATTGTTATATATTTGTGTGTGTGCGTGTTCTCCGTAAACTGTAGCATTGCAATAAAATAAAACAAAATATACAAAAAAATAATAGGGATGGTAGGAGAAGAAAAGAATAAAGTATTTAGTGAGAATCCACAAGATCTTCTCTGAATGCTCTTTGTTTTCTTTTTTGAGAATGTGGGTCCCTGCAATTGCACCAGAGGTGGTACCCCTAATATATACATCAATGATATTTCAAATACCGCAACATTTGAAGCCAGGTTCTATTTGCTGATGATACAACTTTAATTTTCTCCTATGCTAACTCATTTATTCTAAATGACAGTGAATACTGATCTAAATAAAGTCAATTTGTGGTTGACTGTTAACAAACTTGCCCTTAATATTGACAAGACATTTTACATTTTGTTTGGTAACAAGTTCAACAATCAAATTAATCTAAGAATTAACAATACCCAAATTGCAAGCAGAGTAGATGGAAAGTTCCTTGGTGTTCACATTGACAAGAACTTAAATTTCCATTACCATATAAAAAATATTACTGAAAAGGTTTTGAAAAAAGTAAGCATTCTCTCCAAAGTCAGATATTGTACTCCCTTCCTTGTCCTGCCCTAGTTACTCTGTATTATTCACTCATTTATCCATATCTCACCTATGGTATCTGTGCCTGGGGTTCTACCACCCTTAATTACTCAAAAAATCAGCAATTAGAAAAATCACAAATTCCAATCCAAGACACCACTCTGATGATATCTTTGAACGTGTTAAGTATCAAGGCTCGGCACATAATCTAATAATAATAATTTATTTAGGAAAAGTACATACATAGTTGCAGAGTTACAGTACAAACATTCTGTTTGATTTAAAGATAGAGGTAGTACATACAATACCTAAAGGCACTAGTACGCATAGCGTTTCGGGCAAGGTGAGCTGGGGGAAAAAAACACTTAGACTAAAACTTAATAGTAATTGAGCTTAAAGTATAAATTGCTTTGAAAGAAAACAAATAATGAAAGATAAAAAATGGGGAGAACATGGTAGAAAATGGTAGAAAGCTCAAGCAGAAGACTCATCTATAAAACTCTGAATTCCAAAGAAACAAATATCTCGCTGATATTCCTAGAGTGAGACTCAACCAAAGTAGAAATGCTATGCAAATCAAGAGTCCCAAATTGTGGAATGACCTCCCAAATGTACTATAATTGAAAACTGTACATCTCCCAACTAGTTTAAAAGAGACAAGAAATATTTTAGTACTTAATATAATGTAATTAATATCTTATAATCAATACAGTGCCATGTAACTAATTTCACTCACATTTTCCCTCGTAATACATTATTTTTGTGGTACTCTTATCAAAAATTTTGACCTTAAAGTTTTATTTACTAAGAATTATGTACTTTCTATATTTAATGTCATCTAATTTCATGCATTTCTTTGTTAAAGTGTTTATTCATAGCCTTTATGATCCTTCTTTATTTTTAAGTGTTGGCCCCATTAAACATAAATTATATTATATTACTTTGTTCTATTATGTTCCAAGAAAATGTTGAGAAAGAGTCCATTTTCTTTTCTAAATTACACCTTGTACAGTATTTCCATTCCCTTAATAATGTAATTAAACAACTGTATTGTTGCTAGAACTACTGACTCCATAATGTAATAGTCTATACCTGTCATCTTTAAGTATCACCCCTTTTGTATTCATTTGTTATTTTCCCTGACCACACTCATTTTGTTAGCTTACTTCCCTTTCAGTATTAAGTGTTTACACCTTTAGTTAATTTTTTTCTATATTTTAAGTTTTGCCCTAAACACTTTGCATAATTGTGGTTTCATTAGTGTGTGTATCTCATGTTCCTACAATTGTACATTACTCTTATGTTCTTTGTACACATATTCTTTTGAATAAAAATTATTATTATTTATTATAATTACGGTAATATTATATGTATACAGGAAGTTATAATTGGTTGTGAAAGCACATATTTTAGTGATCAAGTAGTACATTTTTGCAAAGCCACTAACATGCATGGCATTTTCTGATTCTAGTACTGAATTGCCTTATACAGTAATTAGAAAATCAGTGGGATCAGTGTGAAAATTTGAAGTAGCGACCTAGGTACTCCCAGCTGCACACCTTGACCCTGGATGACGACATAGTAAAGGTTACACAACCTGGGGGTTATATGTAAAACTTTTACTGGCTTCATCTCAGGTTCTCCAGACTTTATGGATTCAGTGGAATCCAGGTTGTATAACCTTCACTGTTATATATATATCACATTAGTGTAATTTCCTTGTGTATTGCCTTATAATGTTATGTTATTTCCTTCAAGTATCCTCATGATTATGGGTCAAAAAGCTTGTCCCACTAACTGATGTCCCTGATGCAGGTACCGATTGGACCGTAATGGACGAGGGTGTGGGGCTGTGGACCCATGCGCACTCAACAATGGTGGTTGTGACGACCTCTGCCAGGTGGAGCAAGGGCAAGCCCGCTGCTCCTGCAGGCGGGGCTTCACCCTGGCCAATGACCAGGTGTCCTGCGTTGACCTGGACGAGTGTCACACCCCGGGCACCTGCAGCCATCTGTGCCAGAACACCTGGGGCTCCTATGAGTGCCTCTGTAAATCCGGCTACCAGCTGGGCACCGATCATAAGTCGTGTTACAGTAAGTGATCCTGCTAGGTATCATCAAGCATTCACACATCCACTTACTTCAAGCAGATCACTATTTTTGTTTAGTCCTGGTGGCTTTGTTTATCAAACATTTTGAGTTCCAAAGCACTATGAAGTTGTTTATAACAATAAAAACCTTCGGGTGTGAAGTTTCAAAGCTCATAAAATGATTAATAAATGGAAACAAAGCCACCATGATTATGGAAAGATGTACAGGAATCGTACCTGGTTGCATAGATGTCTAACGAATTCTGGCCAAGGGACCAGTGCCCTACACAGTGTTATAAGAAAATAAGATTAAAGGAAACAGCAGAGGTCCTATTGGCCCATGCAAGGTCATTCATACCCAATTAAACTTATTGATATACATTACATGTCTGGCGTATGTTTGAAACAGTCCATTGATCCCACGTCTATTATGTTACTTGGCAATTAACATAAATTTATTAAATTAAAAAGTTCTTTCCAGACCTTTTCTAAATTTACCAAGGCCTTTTCCAAATCTAAACTTATCCAATTTTCAACCATTGTTTCTCATTCTGGTTTATAATTATGCATTCAGCACCTTACTAATATCTCACTGTTGTACACTTTCTTCCATTTGTATATTTCAGCCATGTCAGCTCTTACTTTTTACCTTTCTAGAGAATATAAATTAAGCATTCTTATTCTCTCTTCATAAGAAAGATTCTAATTCCAGTGACCAACTTGTTATCTTCTCTATACATTGTCTAGTTAATTTATGTCCATTCTATAGTATGGTGACCAAAACAGAACTAAATAATCTGAATGTAAATGGGGCCAAGTAAGATAAACTGAGGAATAGCATTAGATATGTCTTGTTGCTAAACCTTTTAGATATAAATCTTATTAACTTATTTGCCTAATTCTGTGCAGTTATACATTGATTTTTTTGGCTTAAGATCTCTGCTAATCATGACTTCCAGATCATTTCTTATTCAGATTAAGCAAATCAGCATTATTTGACTGATATCTGGCAAGTTCGTTATCATTACCTAGGCTCAGAACCCTAATATTTGTTAGCATTAAACTGCATCTGTAAATCTTTTTTTTTTTTAATTTTAAAATTCCTGTTATCTACTGTGAGTTTATTTAGCCTTTATTCATAATGACCTGGCCTCACCTGAGCTCTGCTTGTAGTGACCTGACCTCACCTGACCTATGCTTGTAGTGACCTGACCTCACCTGACCTATGCTTGTAGTGACCTGACCTCACCTGACCTATGCTTGTAGTGACCTGGCCTCACCTGACCCTTGGTTGCAGTGACCTGGCCTCACCTGACCTCTGCTTATAATGACCTGACTTCACTTGACCTCTGCTTGTAGTGACCTGGCCTTCCCTGACTCCCTGCTTGTAGTAACCTGGTCTCATCCTGATTTCTGATTTTACCTTTAACCTGTTCACAGTGATGTAGCCTTTGCTTTCAATGACCTGGCTACACCTCATTTTTGCTTGAAGCATATATGGTCTCACCTAACCTCCACCTGCAGTGATTGACATGGAAGTGATCAACTCGTGTCTGGAGAACAACGGTGGATGTCAACACATGTGTCGTCATGGTGCAAGAGGAGCTGTCTGCAGCTGTCACCCAGGCTACCTTTTACAACCCGACCGTCGCAGCTGTCAGGTGAGCGATAGTACCTGTAACCTGGGTTATCTGGGGCGATCATCACAGCTGTGAGGCGAGTGGCACCTCTGTATTATGCGCTACTCAACTATTCTGTGGGAGAGAAATCTGTTACCCATGAGCTTCAGAGCAACTGCCATAGCTGGATGACCCCTTGTCAATTAGCTTATCAATTGTATCTCTGTTGTCCTACCAAGAAGATGAGTTGGGTTACTCGCTTGCTGAAGAGCAACCAGCCTAACTGGCTTGGGTAATATCCAAGTATCTACCAGGTGTTTTATTGGGGTAATTTCCTTCTTTGGAAACAAGAAACATGTATAGTACTTACTCTTTCCAATTTCCCCCCAAGGTCAACTACTGACCTTCCTCAGGATGTAACTCATGACAGTTGCTCAACTCCTGGGTAACTCCATAGGCATCAGGTGAAAGGAAACGTACCCAATCATTTCTGTCCAATCGAGGGATTGAAATTAGGATCCTTGATTTGCGAGTCGAAGACATTTACCACCATACTACAGAACTAAAAATGTGAGACACCAGATTGAGGGTAGGATACACAGCATCTCAGAAGAGTATTAACCCTTAGGCTGCTGATTTAATTAGGATGGTCTACTTCCATATGCAAATATTTTCAACAAAATGATAAAAACAAGTACACAAATTGTCAGAAGACTAGCAAATACTTTTCAGTATTGAAAAATGCAAGACCTTGCATGTTGAGTATAAAAATGCATGTAATAACTATCAGATCAACAACACCACTATGCAGCACATTGAAGAAAGGGATCTATGAATTAGGATCAGTGCAAACAAACTACGGTTAAAGGGTTAATAATGATGATAATGCTGTACAGTATTTGTAAAATTTTATGTAAATCCTGAATTTGACTTATCGTAATTTAAAGTTTTTCGTTTAGGACCACAACTTTTATTGCCATGAGACTATGTAGTTATAAGATAAAAGCCCACACTTATATATTTGCATATTTTATGTAAAGATTTACACTAAAGTGTTTTTAACTCAACTGAGTGCTTTATCCAGGTCTGAGTACACTATATGGTTAGGACAAGACTTAAATTTCAATGACTTCATATAATCAGAGCTTGATTAAATTACTTGGGAGAGTGTAAAAGACTTGCCTACCTACCTGTTGAAGATGCCATGGATCAATGTCCCTGCAGCCCAGTCTCTGACTAGGCCTCCTTCACATAAAATCCACAAATACATATACATAAGTGTGGGTTATAATCCTGTTATTATATCTGTGAGAAGACGTTGCCATTACTTACTATGTAGTTATGTTATTGTTTTCTTCTCACTGAAATGATTGTGATGCTCTACCATAAACTTTATGATGTCATGTTTTATCTTATAGTCTCTCTCTTTTACACCATGTCTGAGATATAATATATTAAATACAGTATATTTACTTATCTGTGTTTCAGGACGAGGACGAGTGTGAGGCGAAGACCCACCGGTGCCAGCAGGAGTGTGTCAACACCGCAGGGGGCTATGCCTGCGCCTGCACCCAGGGCTACACCCTCAGCTCCGACACCTTCACCTGTGCTGGTGGGTTGCTTCTCCCAAACCCATACAGGGCTTTACCTACCCATGACTAAAAAATCAGTACTAAAACCCCCACATGTTACTAAAGTCTTCCTCATACATCTCCCTCTGCCCCTTAGAGAGCTACAGTATCCCTAAAGATTAATACCATCATCTATGCTGGAAAATGTGATTCACAGTTACCTAGATCTTTTGATTGTAGTGTTATTTTGATAATCATACTCCTTTGCATAAAGCATAGTAACCTGTTCTGGTTCTTCAGATGTGGATGAGTGTGAGCGGCAGAACGGGGGATGTGAGCACGAATGTCGAAACACCCAAGGTTCATTTATATGTACCTGCCGAAGGGGCTATGTTCTCGTTGACCGCACCCACTGTGACAGTAAGTTCTATCATTAACCTTGCTGCATCAATAAGTACTGCCAATGACATCACCCATTGTGACTAAATACCACTGTTGACTTCATGTAATGTGACAGCACTACCATTGACCTTACCCACTGTAACAATAAATACTACTCATGACCTCTCCCACTGTGACAGTAAGTACTATCGTTGACCTCACCCACTGTAACAATAAATACTACTCTTGACATAACCCAGTTAGAAAGTAAGTACTACCATTGTTCTAACCACTGCAATAGCAAGTACTACTATTGATCTTGCTCAGTGAAATAGTAAGTACAGTACAGTACTACTATTAACCTCACCCTCTGTGGCAGTAAGTACTCCAATGCCTGCCTTGCCGATGGCCTTACTACAAGTAAAAGTTCTTCAGAGCATTTGAAGAATGCAGAGCATCAGAGCGTTGTTAAGAGCAAATTTCCTGTAGGACTTATTTAGTATAAGTTTTAAATTTTTACAGTGCTGTATTCTAAAATAAACATATTTCAATATACAGTATACAAACATGCTTAAAAAAACTTCTACGGGGAGCACCTCTGGCTCCCAGGAACTATAGGGGTGATATGTGTTATATTAGTCTGGGCATCAGTCAATTGGAGTTCAGCCTACTGGAAACCCCAAGCCAGAACCTGGCCCCCTCAGAGAGAGACAAAGGGAGCAATGGTTTATGGAAACCCCCCATGCATTTGGGGGCATTTCCATGTCTGCCATCAACCGGAGTTAGCACCCAGGCAGGTAGGCATAACAAACACTTGCAAACACAGGTTTTCAAACACTTGTAAAGTACATTGCGTCAGAAAGATTAATATACTGCTACTATTACACTCGCACTTTATTTCCAGTTTGCAAATTTTTCCTTTGTGTACACCTGCTGTACACCCTCCTCATCCACCTTTACCTACTATCATAAATGGTAATCTCCATGATTAGAGACCGGCAACAAGTAACAGGTGCTTGTAGGGAATAACCTATTAAGCATTGTTGATGTAAATATTACTTTACCAAGACTGTGCATAAGCAAGTCACCTGGCATGTCTTCCTCACAGTGGTCAACTACGACTACACCGGAGAGTACTCTGATCGTTATCCATCCCAGGCCACTCATGGTGACACTGACTTTAGCACCACCCTGGAAGCAGATAACTACCCATCCCAGGCCACTCGTGGGGACACGGATTTCAGCACCACCCTGGAAGATGACTCTTCTCTACTTGGGGACACGTCAGATTCCACCCATGACTTCTGGAATGACGTGACCTATGCTGAACATGCCAAGGTCACCACCATACACACCCGTGAGTTTACTAGCATCTGAATTCTCTGTTGCTATTTTGCATTTCTGTTATACAGTATTGGTATTGTGTTTTATATTATTGACTCCTACCAAAATTTTCTTATTCTTATCTATTCAACTGTTTTTATGTACTCACCTCAGTTACATTTAATTTACGACACTGCACCTGATCGATACTCCTTTATAATTTGTTCTAACTGCACAATCTGTCTTCTCAATTTTTTATTCACTGGGCAATAAATAATACAGTATATTTTTTAGACAAAAGCAGAAACTTAAATAAAATTGTATTACAATTTCCATGCAGATGTGATTGCTCACCGTGTAGGACTAATTCAACCCTCTTTCCTGCAGGTTGTGTTCCAGGTCACTTTGGTCCAAACTGCACATTAACTTGTGCCGACTGTCCCGGTCAGTGCGATACTTCGGGCTGTGTATGTCCTCCTGGGACCACTGGTCCCACCTGCTCTCTTCCCTGTCCTGTGGGATTCTATGGACTGGAATGTAACCAGGTGAGAGACTACCCACCTGTTCCTTCCCCTATCTTATGGGATCTTATGTCCCTGACTGTAACCAGTTGAGTCCCAATACTTGCTCCATCACCAGACTTGTGTGTTACCTCTGGTATCAGGACCGATCTGTGCTTCCACAGATGTGTCGCTGCGAGAATGGTGGCACATGTGATCCTGTTTCTGGCAATTGCACGTGTCCCCCGGGAGTGTCTGGGAACCTTTGCCAAGATGGATGTCCTGCTGGTGAGTGAATTTACTGTTCTGATGCTCCCCTGCAGGTAGATACACAATGAATTTCATGTTTATGCACAGATATACTCTTGCCTTTATGTTTCAGCTCCTCAAACCCACCGTTTAGTTGGCAGTCAGTTTTGAAATGACTCCTGATTCTCTTACTTCATATCATGCCTACTCTTGAATCTATGTAAAGAATTGGCATCACCTTTTTTCTATCTCAACTTATTTCACTTGCTCACTACTCTTATTGAAGCATTTTCTTAAATCTTCCTGACTTGTCTGAGGCTTTAGTTTCAACTCGTGCACCATTCAACCTCCACTCATTCACATTCAGTTCCCTCAGTCTTTCCTCGTAGCCTGCCCACCGGGATAATGTCCAGAACATTAACAAACCAATACAGACCACTGCTAGGTTCAAGGTGACCAAAACATCAAAACCATCAAATGAACTCCCCTGTAGCAACTATATTAAGAAGTAATATACTTGCTCCATATTCTCATTAGCTTAATTGCTCTTAATTAAATGTTCTTGTTAATTCCTCATAACCTTTCTCTAAGTATTCCACATTCCAAGAAGTTCTTCACTAATCCTTGGTCCATTAATTATAATTCCCAAATGTACAACTAATTACAATTACTGGATAATTTCTGTTCCCAACCTGCAAGATGTTGGTCAGTTTTGCCAAGGTGAGGAGATGCTTGAACAGTAATATAAGCCATTGTATGCAGATCAAAATCAATCTAAACTCGTATAATGGTTCAGTACAGATGCTTGAGAGGTACCACACATTTTCAACACCCATTGACATTCACCAGCAACAATGTAACATTCAACGAGTCCGATTCCTACCCTCACAAGACTTCCCCTATCTTATGGGATAATGACACTTCAGTCTCATTACCATGTAGGTAGCCAGATTCCGGCCGCATCAAGCTTCCATGTTTTTGTCTCGCATTCGAGCTCTTTAACCCCACTTGCATCCAGAGCCCCATGCTCTACACTTTCACCCCGCATCTGAGCTCTCTAACCCCCAGGCCTCACTCAAGCTCTCTGCCCTCCTCCAGGCTTCATCTTGGCTATTATGAGACTTTACTGCACTGCCAACAAACCCACTGTTGTAACCAAGACTATACTAAATAAATATAAAAAAACACTGTACTCCTTGAGTCTCATCACCCAAATATGTACACATAAACATGCATTACACCCCCAAGGTACTCAAGGTAACCCCCCCCCCCCACCATCAATCTATCAATCTAAACAAATGATCGAATCTTTCAAAACAAGCATGCACACTTTTGCCCCATCCCTCCCACTAGTTAGGGATGAGAGCTGGGGCTCATGTTGTCCACTGGCCATTGCCATAAGTTCTGTCATTGATGCAGATTGATAAACACGTTCTTTGTAGGGCTCTCGGGTTGTCAACAAGCTGTGTTGGGTCTTGCTATTTCTCGGCTGAGTGCCAGCCATTCTTTAACTTTGTCTTGTTGGGGCCATTTGCATTGTAATGTTAGCTTCACAAGTGTTTGTTGTCCAGTTTGGTGTTTCATGGACCTGATTTTTAGTGCATTTGGAGCTGCATGTCTGGATATTAATCCAGACTAGTACTTTTGAAGGTCAAATGTATTGCATACAAGGGACAATAGCTTCAAGCTCAACAAGATACAATGTAGGGCAAAAACAAGAGGTAATGCCTTTTTTTAGCAATAGGGAAGCACTTTCCTGCGATTCCAAGGGTTTAGGTAATGTCTTGGCATTCCAAGTAATGTCAAGACTTCGGTTTAAAACCCAGATTACAAAAAATCCACAGGAACAATGGGGGGGTACCTTTGACAACCCTCTGGCTTCCTGTCACCCATGCCACTAGGGAGATAGTGGCCCACAGATAAATTCAATTCAATTCAGACAAATTGTAAGTATGTACCACACTTCCTTATGTAGCATTTATTCAAATTGAATTCCATCTGCATTGTGTTGCTCTATTCGCTTATTTTGTCTTAAGTAATTTTGAAGGACATGACAATCATCTGGATCTTCTTTTCACCTTAAGTGAATCCCCTCTGGTATATTGTTAATACTATAAACAATGAGCATTGATTCTAGTGCTGAATCTTGCAATACTCCATTTCTCCATTTTCTCCTAGGAGCAAAATATTGTGTGAAATTTTCATTTTCCCAATTGCATTGCAGTATCCAATATTACTGCAAAAAGATCAAAATACTAAATAAGAAATTTGCCATGCTAACCATTGCATGCATTGGACAGGATACTACGGGGGCCAGTGTGAGCGGCGGTGTCCCATGATGTGCCCCAACATGCGCTGTAACAGAGTCTTTGGTTTCTGTGAGTGTGATCCAGGACGCTTTGGGCCCAAGTGTAACATGCCCTGCCCGGCCCTCACCTGGGGCCCCAACTGCCGCTACCAGTGCCAGTGTCAAGCCCACACTACTGCTAAGTGCCACTCTGAGGTTAGTTAATATGTGCATTAGGGTACTCTATTAATTCTTAGTTTGTAAGACAAAACTATGAGGAAATGTTTATGATTGTTAAAATGCTTTGTGTACTGATTCGTGTGTTCATCTCCTCGAGGCATAAATTTGTGCCATGTCTCCTTATAAGGTTAATGTCTTTCCCCCAGAGTGGTGTATGTGAATGTCAACCAGGCTACGTGGGCTCTGACTGTTCAGAGGCGTGCCCAGCTGGCAGCTGGGGTGCCGGGTGTTTGCATGAATGTCAGTGTGCCAGTAGTGCCACATGCCACCCTGCCAATGGTGTCTGTATCCAAGACTGTCCATCGGGCTTCACCGGACCTGACTGTCTCACACGTAAAATTCTCCTCGCAAAATGTTTTTAAATTGATGTAAAGTAATATAATGAAATATATAAATATGTACAATACTGCCATCACTCGGGCCATTCACTGTTTCTGTGGTCAATGCCAACAGCGTGTGAGTTAGGCCACTATGGTCCTGGGTGTATGAAGGCGTGCATGTGTGGCCTGCAGCCTTGTGACCCTACCACTGGTGTCTGCCTCTGTCCTGCAGGTACCCATGGACCCAACTGCCTCCGGTGTAAGTTCCCTTAATATTTTCTTCCATATTACACTTCGATATACAAGTAATCATGGAATTTATTCTTTTTTACACATTGCAATTTAATGTTCACAGTAAGGAGCAATGTACAATACAGTATTTGAAATTTGATGAAACAAGAAGCTGCACATTCAGATTAGTCATTTTAAGTTTCATTATCTTTTTTTTCTGCTAGCTTGTTCCAAAGGCCAGTGGGGTCAGAGCTGTCAGCAGAAATGTCAGTGCCAGAATGGGGCCACTTGTGACCGTGTCAGCGGGGCATGCCACTGCCCTCCAGGATATGTTGTGAGTAACACGTGTACAGGTAGCAAGCAGTCTAGATGCTGGTAGGCTGGTCATTTATACAGTCAGCATCCAGACCAGGATGGGAGGCTAGTCATTTAGTCAGTCAGCATGTAGTCTGAGATGAGAGATTAGTAGTTTGCAATATGCATCCAGACTGACATGGGAGGCTGGTCGTTTATACACATACTTCTAGTAGACAGACATTTTATGTTCCTTGACATTTATTTATATACTCTTTATGTTGTGTAAATACCTTGCTTGCTTGCTTCCTTTAGCAGTGTTCCAAAAACTTTATTAAGGGGAGATGTAACACCATAAATGGTTTTATTTAATATTTTATACAACGAGAGTCAGTCACACAGGATATTGGCAGTGCCAGGCTGTCAGCCCTTAGCATTTCAAGTCACACCTTTCACAGGCTGCAGAAGTCAGGTTGTGTCAGGTGACCTCGCTCTCTAAGCTGATAATTGCAAACAGTTGGCTATGTTCTTTACATTAAACAAGCTGCTGTCCAGGTGTTGTAGGAAGATAACCAGAGGCTATCTCCTGGTAGGCAGAGTTTAGCTTCTAGTTTCCCCATAAATACCTATGGAACTGTACAAGTTTGTGCTAGATAGACACAGAGAGGGAGAGGGAGAAGGGGGAAAGGGAGGGAGAGAGAGAGAGGGGGGGAGAGGGAGAGAGAAGGGGAGAGGAGGGAAACGAGGCCTTCCTAGGTCTACACAGGCCTGTCTCAGACCGATGGGGATGTAGAAGTTACAGCCCCGCTCCTGTGCCAGATAAGTCCACAACGGGCTCACCATAGCCCGTGCTACTTGCAACTTCTGGTTCCCAATAGCTGAATCTTAAACAACAACAACAACAAACCGATGGGGACTCTGTCGGTCAGCCGTATCGCCCACTCCATGCTAACCATATTATAATCAAAGACTTTGGTGAGTAAGAGTGTAAAGTTGATGTATATTTGGTGTTTTCCAATTTAAGGGTTGTGTGATGTTAAGGGGCAGTCAGCCATAGTTGCTCTCAATTTCTTATGTGATGACTCAGTCTGAATTAATGTTAATATTTGAACATCAAGTGAAGGGGTTATTGTGAATTAAGTGAACATCAAGTGAATTATGGTACCCATGTGAGTGAATACTGTAAATAATAGTACACAGATAATTGATTAACTTATTTTTTAATTGTCTTTAATTCTGATCTCTAGATCTTGGATAGTGAAAGCTAGAGTGAAAAGCACTCTGAATTGTACTTGCTAATGATTATGACTTGAAGATTCTTGACTATGTGATTTACACGAGTATAGTTGTTACTTGATAATGTCACAGTATTTAAGAATACTGTTGTACAGACACGTTCCATTCCTTGTCTTATAATTAATTCTTGAATAGATGGTGGCAGCTCTTTCTACTTCTTTCCTTCAGCTCCCCTTTTTCCTTTCTTTCCTTTTCCCTGTCTTCCTTCTTTTTTGTCCCTTTCTTCTTTTCTTCCTCCCACTCCTCCCTTCCACTTCACTCTACGAGCTTTCATCTTTCTTATACGTTCCTTATACGTTACAACAACAGTACGTGTAGAGGTAGTACAAACAACAGTATGTGTAGAGGTCGTATACATAGTAACACAGGTGATGCAAGTTTTGAATCGGAAACGTTTCACAGGGTCCAGCATGCGAGTCGCGATGCTCAGTTGGCAGGTTCGGTGTGGACTGCAGCGAGACCTGCACCTGTCTCAATGGCGCAGCCTGTCACCACCTCACCGGCAGGTAGGTAGTACTGTAACCTCTTGTTGAGAAGATTCTGGGTGAATGCTAGTTTAAGCAGCAGGTGAGTGCTGTGGCCAAACAGCAGGTGAGTGCTGTGGTCAAGCAGCAGGTGAGTGCTGTGGTCAAGCAGCAGGCGAGTGCTGTGGTCAAGCAGCAGGCGAGTGCTGTGGTCAAGCAGCAGGCGAGTGCTGTGGTCAAGCAACAGGCGAGTGCTGTGGTCAAGCAGCAGGCGAATGCCGTGGTCACTAAGCCAGGTAAGTGAATAATGAAGCAGGATGGTTAGTAATAAATTGCAAGTCAGGTGAATACTGAGCCAGGTCAGTGGGTACTTGAACATTGAGAGGTATGATTGGTTCCTGTAGGTTTTATAATTATTACAGTATAATATTGCATTTTATGAGTACAGTATACGGTAATTTTTTTAAATGTGGTATTAAACAATGCAATTGAAGGTTGATGTCATTGATTGTGTTTCAGGTGTGAGTGCTTGCCAGGGTTCACGGGTCCTAGCTGTGGCCAGCCGTGTCCACTGGGGCGGTATGGCCAGGATTGTGTGCACATGTGTCACTGTGAAAACAATGGAGGCTGTGACCGTGTCACCGGCGAGTGCGCATGTGCTCCAGGCTGGCGGGGACCTCAATGCAAAATGCGTGAGTTACCATTACACCTTGGTTCACGATACTGTATTGTATACAGTACCAATAAAAAAAATAATAAATAATGATAATTTGAATGAAGGTTGTCCTGGTAATGACTCTGTACTTTCTTCACATAGCATGTGATACAGGAACCTATGGATCTGGGTGTGCCATGAATTGCAGCTGTGCCAACGGTGCTAAGTGTGACCACATCTCTGGTGCCTGCATGTGCCAGCCAGGTATCTTCCGAGTGGTTTAACACGAGCTTGAATTGTTTTGTCTATAAATTTATACCTTTAGTGACTATGAAAATGAGTTTATAATCACTTAGTTGATACAAGAATGAAGAGTTTCCCTATTAATATACAGGGTACATGCACTGTAAGAGATAGTGTGGCTCCAGTTACTATTTGTTGCAATGAGTCCATCATCTTATTTCATAGGTTGGCGTGGGACCTTCTGCTCACGGCCATGTCCTGACGGGTTTTGGGGGCCTGATTGTCGTTATCACTGTGGCTGCGGTGCAGGTGCCGCTTGTGACCCTTCCACAGGTTCTTGCGCTTGTCCTCCAGGCAAACATGGTCAACACTGCTCCAAAAGTATGTACCCACTCCTTGCATTACCATTATTTAGTTTATGTATAGACCATTTTAGATGGGATGTGTAACTTTTTGACCTTTTGTCTGGCCCTCAGCTTGCTCTTCTGATCGCTGGGGCAGTGACTGCCAGAATGTGTGTCTGTGTCACAACGGAGGCACTTGTGACAGAGTGTCCGGTGCCTGTGTGTGTCCCCCTGGGTACACAGGTGCCACCTGCCAAGATAGATGTCCTAAAGGAACATATGGCAATGGCTGTCAGCACACTTGTCTGTGTCAGCACGGTGCAAGTTGTCAGCATGACACTGGAACCTGCATTTGTCCACCAGGCTTCTCTGGTACATATTGTGAGACAGGTCAGTCTTCCTGTTATTTAATTAAGTAGTGAGCTGTTGAGAAATGTGTGTCCAAAGTTTATGGAATAATCTTTTCTGCTGCATATGAATTTTTAATATTGACCCTTAGGTTGCGAGCATGGCAGGTATGGACCTGGGTGTGTACTGGAGTGTCACTGTCAGCACGACGGCCAGTGTGACCCCATTACTGGCGCCTGCAAGTGCACCTCGGGCTGGCGTGGCCAACACTGCCATAAATCTTGCCACAAAGGTCAGTGTCAAGGCCACAAGTACTGTATTTGAATAACCGCTTCTAGAACTATCACATTTGGCATACAGATACACACACATACATATATAATATGATGTCATACTTAATAGCCTTGTGTGTGTGTGTGTGTGTGTGTGTGTGTGTGTGTGTGTGTGTGTGTGTGTGTGTATGTATGTATATATGTGTATATGTGTATATATATATACTGTATATAAATATATATGTGTGTGTGTGTAGGCATTACACATAATTTCTATTAGAAGTAGAAGTATCATTAATGAAATCTAAGGCATAATTGTATTTACAGTATCCAACATTTACTGATTTATTTATTTAAATACTATATATACAAGAAGGCACAGTGGGTTGTGTAAGTACAGTACAGATTTTAGAGATTATTTTGTGCATTCCTGCAAATCGACTAATACTTGGTGCTATCCACAGGGTTCTGGGGTGGAGGGTGTGAACAAGTTTGCGACTGTGAACATGGCTCTCACTGTGACCCCATCACGGGCGAGTGCCAATGCCCTCCTGGCTATGTCGGTGACAGGTGCCAGTTTAGTAAGTATTTTATCTTGCTAGTGCCATCATAGTTGCTTAAATATTCACTTATATTTTGAAGCATATTCTTAAAAAGAAATTATGAACAAGAATAACTCTGTTCTCTACTCTTAAAACCATATTTGATATTCCTCATTCACATAATTGGCTTTTATTTTATTCACTTCCAGTCTGCCCCTTTGGCTATTATGGGAACAGGTGCGAGGAACTCTGTACATGTGGGGAAGACGAGCCATGTGACCATATGACAGGTGCATGCACTTGTCCACCAGGGCGTCATGGCCACCAGTGCCACGAATGTTAGTATCTAGACATATGCTTAGTTTTCGTTACTCGTATTGACAATACCTCTAGCAACAGTCTGGTCATCAAAAATGTTATTATGTCCTCAACAGCTCTGTCCCTATTAGAAAATCAGCATTGTCAGCAGGAAACATGACAGAAACTTTTACATGGCATTTTCTCCACAGATTGTGCTGAGGGGAGATGGGGTGAAGGGTGCCAACATGAGTGCCAGTGTGCCAGGTCTTCCCTTTGTGACCCAGTCAGCGGTGAATGCTTCTGTCCCGCAGGTCTTCGTGGTCGGAATTGTAGGAGAGGCTGTCCCCGGGGCAGATATGGAGTCGACTGCAACCAGGCGAGTACAGGTGTTGCCACATTGGATATTGGCATGGTTATGGTGGAAGGCACCTCTGGCTGTGGGGTCAATACAGTGTCATCTTTATAAAGCAAATGTAGCTCTTCAACCAATGGTTTCCCATTGCCAGAGACAGGAAGCCTGTAGACCAACTACTGACCTTTCCCAGGAAGTAACCCCACAACAGTTGCCTGACTCCTGGGGTTCTGTTTACTGCTAGGTGAACAGCGGCATCATGTAAAAGGAAACATATCCAATTGTCTCTATCCTGCCCAGGAATTGAACCTGTAACCTCAGTTGCAAGCTTAAGACGTAGAGCACTGTGCTATAGGCCCTATATGACTATTATGATATAAAAGATATGCTTGATAACAAATGTTGTTATTTATCAGCTTTTAAATAGCCGTTACTGTTATTAAAGTTTCTATGATAAAGGTATCCAGTTTAATTGGTAAGAATACCAATTAAAAATGGGTATAAATTGTATGTACAGTAAGAACTGTGCACCTATTCTGCAGTGAAGATATAACTATTTCTTCAACAAATAATTATAGTACTAAGACGAGTCATCTATTTACAGAAGTGCAAATGTGAAAACAGTGGGACTTGCGACCCAGTCAGTGGGCAGTGCCAGTGTCGTGATGGTTACTATGGCCCCACCTGTGCCCTTCCATGTCCAACTGGCACTTTTGGATTCAACTGCAATGAGGTAAAGTACTCACTTTCTCTGGAAAAAAATGAACCTTTGCTACAGGTGAGATTAATTAGGATAATATTGTAGGGCTGTTAGCCTTTTCCTGCCTAGTTTATTCAGCTACCTAACACTCTTATCTACTCGGCATCTTGCTAATTTTTTCGGCCACAGTTTAAATACTTTATAGTTTATGTATAAAGTTATCGTATTCCAAGTTTTCACTGTAGTGTTGTGTAGTTTTATATCGGTAACTAGAGTAGGCCTAGTCGTAACTTTAGTCTCAATTTTCAATTGTTAATGTTCAAGTTCACAAGTAAGATTTCTGTACTGTCTATGCGGCTCATCCCCATTCATGTCAACAAAATATTCAACTTAGCCAAAATTCTTACTAGAAATAGCCAAAAATTAGACATTTGCAATTTTTTTGTAACAAAATCTGATTACTGCAGCAGTTTAGGCCCAGCTGCTCCAGCAGTTTACCCCAGCTGCCACTTCTGCAATTTATTCCAGCTGCTGCTGCAGCTTAACCTTAGCTGCCCCTATAGTTTACCCGAGCTGCTGCTGTTGCAGTTTATCCTAAATACTGCTACAGTTTACCTAGCTACTCCCACAGTTTACCCAGATACCCCTGCCATTTACTCTGTGACTTCCACAGTTTACTTGAAAGCGATGAACGAAAATTCATTTGGCTTCCCAGAATTTGCATTGTTGAACGTTTATATTATCTACAGATTTTTAATATACAATTCCTTCCTTTGTACAGCCTCATTATATATTCGTAGATTTGTAATGCTATTGGGATTGTCATTATTTACTATGTACAGTATGTGTTATGTGGGACCAGAAATGCATTTTTCATTATCTTGAAGTAATCTACATATTGATGTGACAGACTTGTGAGTGTGAGCACGGAGGTGAATGCAGTGGGGTCGGGGAGTGCCGGTGCCCTGCAGGGTATACGGGATCGCACTGTGAGACTCCATGCCCTGACCACACCTGGGGCCTCCGCTGTGCCTTCCACTGCCGCTGCCACAATGATGCCATCTGCCATCCAGGTAATCTGCCAGTAATGTATACGGCCTGTATTATCTGTATACTGCCTGCCATCTAGACTCCAAACAACCGTGTTTCACCTGCTATCCAGTTGGCTTATTCATGACTCGCTGACTCATTTGCTGCTCCTTTCTGTAACAAACTAATTAATTAAAATTTGTTAGGTAAATTTGGGTCTTGACCAGGTACTGGAACCAATTACTTTATTCGATGCTATAACTAAATGCACTTTCTTGATAAAATGCATTAGTGTGTTAAGACTGCAAGAAAAGTGAAATGAATATTGTGTTAATAACAAGAGGTAAGTATTGTCATCAACAAGACCAGGCAAGAATGGTCATTAACTACACAGTAAAATAACAACATACTGGAATGAACGATATGGAAGAAAATGCAGAATAGAACCAGTGAAGAGCAGGGATGCCATATGCACAATCGTAGAACACTGTATAAACATCAGAGGTCCACGGTTGTTCAACATACTGTACTCCCAGCAAATATAATAAATATAACCGGAACAACCGTGGACATCTTCTTGGTTATCTTGAAATGATTTCGGGACTTAGCGTCCCCGCGGCCTGGTCCTCGACCAGGCCTCCTTTTTGTTACACCCCATTCCCAGGAAGTAGCCCATAGCCGCTGTCTAACTCCCAGGTACCTATTTACTGCTAGGTAACAGGAGCATCAGGGTGAAAGAAACATTCTACCCATTTGTCTCCGCCTCCACCGGGGATCGAATCCGGAACCTCAGGACTACGAATCCGAAGCGCTGTCCATCCAGCTGTCAGGTTCATCTTCAAGAGAAAACTAGATACAGTAGTTTTCTTCAAGGAGTGCCGAACCAACCTGGCTGTGGTGGGTAAGTGGGCCTGTGAGCCACTCCAAGCAACAGCCTGTTGGACCAAGCTCTCACAAGTCAAGCCTGTCCTCAGGCTGGGCTTGGAGAGTAAAAGTATTCCCAAAATCCTATCAAGCAGGTATAACAAGGTCATATGAAAATAGTCAATAATAAAGAGTGCAGTGTCAAGAAAGAGACCACTGAGATCCAAAATTACATTTCAATTCAGGATTTGACTATGCCTTTGTTTGTAGAGTCCCTTGGGTGCAGGCAGGCCACAGTATGGTAGACTAGAGAAGATTTTTGTATGTCCTATTCAACAAGTTTGGATTTTATAGATTATTTATTATTTTATAGATTAGTTATACTTATTTTATAGATGGCTTTTTTTCTTTCATTAGAGCTTTGATAGTAATAAAATAACAATATATTTGCAAAAAATACAGAGGATCAGATTATAGTAATTACTTCTAACAGTAGGTACACTGGTGTCCAAACCACACACCAGAAAATACAAGGTTTTGGTCCATTTGGGACCATTATTAAGTCAAGTAATAGAAAGAGTGAAAATTATAGACAATATAAGTGAAGAGGAATGAAATGAAAGGTGGGATGGATGAAAGAGAAAGATGAAGATAATGAAAGGAAAGAATAAAACAAAAGGTAAGAAAAATGTGAAAATATATAAAGTCAGGTAAAGGAAAGGTTAGTAGTAAGGGAAGGAAAAGGCAGAAGAATTGGGGAAAAGGAAGAAGAATTGGAAAAAGAGGGGTACAAATGAGAAAAAGTTGGAAAATAGAAATAAAAGAGACAGGAAAGAGAACCAAGTTAGTCCAGGATGAACTGAAACATCATCGTTTCTTCATTTTCTGATCTGTGGTTCCTCGGTTATTGTATGTTATTGTGACTCATCTGCATAGTAGGTACATTTGTATTTTATATAAAACCACTAATTACATAAAACATTTCGGGCATAATTTATATTGTATATGTAGATTATATGTAGTACCTAAAATATATTTAGCATAATTACAACTAAGGTACATAAACATACAAATTTATTTACCTTTTCTAAATGTTAATTTGTTTTACCTTGTGTGTTTCGGTCGTCATTACTGGTAATATTTCCGTAATTTTGATAGCGACGGGGAAGTGCCAGTGTGGGCTAGGGTGGACTGGACCAGAATGTGGCCAGGAGTGCATCCCGGGTCGCTATGGCCCCAACTGCCAACTGGACTGTGCCTGCCACCACAACGTCTCCTGTGACCGCTTTTCCGGTTGCTGTGAGTGTGGCCCGGGCCGCTATGGCCGCTACTGTGAGCTGGGTAAGTCTGGTGTATTACTCACAAGTTAATGAAGCATGTTAGCTTAGTAATGAGAGCACATGTAAATACAGTATCCATGTGTGTGTGTGTGTGGCATAGTGTTGTATAACAACTACATGTTATAACTCCACATGTAGGCCATATGTGTTATAACTTTAACAGAATATGTCTATTCATTAATATACAAGTGTTTAATGTCTTTGAATTTGTATAAATGTAAAGTTATAAAATAGTTGCGTATTTAAAATTAACACTGATTACAAAACTCAAAGTACATTATTCATTTATATGAGAAAGTTAATGCAATATAAATAGCATATGCTGTAATGAAAGAGACATGTTTATGAGTAATATATCTTAAACTGAACATGGAAATATAATATGAAACTGACATGAAAGTGAAATATTTAAGAATAACTTTTTAAATACTTTAGTAATGGGGTAGAATTCAAATTGTGCATCAAAGAATGTGACATTAGTTGATACATTCACGAGAAGAGGCTTACTGGTGTATAATTAGTATGACTATGATCAGTTTAAATAATTCCGAGTAGTGTTTTACACCTGGGAAGATACCTGGAAGATACTGGAGGGCCAAGTACCAAATCTACACAGTAAAATAACAACGTACTGGAGTGAACGATATGGAAGAAAATGCAGAATAGAACCAGTGAAGAGCAGAGGTGCCATAGGCACAATCAGAGAACACTGTATAAACATCAGAGGTCCGCGGTTGTTCAACGTCCTCCCAGCAAGCATAAGAAATATTGCCGGAAGAACCGTGGACATCTTCAAGAGGAAACTAGATTTATTCCTGCAAGGAGTGCCGGACCAACTGGGCTGTGGTGGGTATGTGGGCCTGCGGGCCGCTCCAAGCAACAGCCTAGTGGACCAGACTCTCACAAGTCAAGCCTGGCCTCGGGCCGGGCTTGGGGAGTAGAACTCCCAGAACCCCATCAACCAGGTATCAACCAGTGTGGCACAGTGCACTACTTCTAGCAGGTATAAGAGTGGTACAATGCCATACTTATGGTAGGTATAAGTATGACATTGTGCAACTTCTCTTACACCTACAATTATGACACTGCCACTCTACTCTTTTTATGGTAGTGATGCCACTCTTCATCCTGTTTCAAGCATGACACTATGCCACTTACACCCGTTCCAAAAATTGCACAGTGCCACAGTTTTATCAGGTTTAAGAAAAAATTGACTATGTGCTGTATTAAGGTGTCATTCCATTCTCTTACAGAGTGTCCGGATGGGTTCTACGGAGCATATTGCACAGGTGTTTGTGATTGTCATAACGGTGCCAGCTGTGATCCTCATACGGGACAGTGCCGCTGTGCACCTGGCTTTACTGGCGACACCTGTCAACACACCTGCCAACCAGGTTAGTTAATAGCTTCCCTAGTCGCTTTCATCTACTCTTCTATGACATTTATATTGATTTATACAATGAACTGTTCAACAGCACTAAGTAGGCCTACTGGCTCATTAGTCAGAATCTATTTAAATCTAATTATTGTCACTTGACATCTGTCTATCCTTATTTTTAAAAGTACCAAGGTACAAGTATCAGTTAAGGCACTTGATTGTTTCATTTATCCATGATACAAATGCATAACTAATGCTAAATACTGTCACAATTAAATTGGAGTTTCTTTCCGTCCTGGACAATCGACTTGACACTGGTCCAGGATGGACTGAAACGTCGTCGTCCCTTCACCTTCTAGTGTGTGGTCTGGTCAACTTACTTTAGCCACATTATTGTAACTCATCGCCTTTACATAGCTCTCATCCTGTAACTACACTTGGGTAATTACTTAGGTACTTACACCCCACAAATAAAATCCCTGAATGCCCACCAACCACAGAGCCTCGCAGAGGAGTCAAAAGACTCATTTACTGCCCAAATAGAGGGCAAGGGGCTCTACACACTAGCTTGGTCTCTGAGGTGTGAACTCCCAAACACACCAGAGAAATCACTAAACAATGCTAAATGAGCTCTCTGGGAAGGACTGCCCTAAATACATACCGTATAGCACAAAGTGAATATTAAACCAAGTCCAAACAATAAGTGAGGTTTGTAAACACACACATGTGAAGCAAATACTAAAGTTTAGCAATGACACACAAGCAAATGGTCCCCCACAGGACAGAGTCCAAAGGATGGCCTACACTTCTTTTGAAAAGAAGTAGAACACTCTATATGACTAAGGAAGGTCTGAATGCACAGACATCTACTCCATACTGACTCATTACTGGTGAAGGAGCCTGGAGCTCCTGGACGTGCCACCTGTCAGCAGCCATTCACAACTAGTAAATACACAAGGAGTAAATGCTAGGGGATTCAAGCTAGTTTTGAGCGAGTCATTTGCAGAGTCTTTTGGCTGTTTCAGTGCTTCATTTTCTGTGAACCTTGCAATTGTTTGTATTTCTTTGCTTATGTTCTGAATGTTTTCTCAGTGAGGGTCATTGTAATAATCCTCTTCTCCCTGTGCCTCTTTGAGAGGAAACTAGGCTCTAACTTTGGTTCCTGAAAAGCCCTGCAAGATTCTTACGGAGTCAGTAGGAGGACGCCATCTCATTGAGATGGCTTTCCCCTACTGAAATTGAGACTCAGAGACATTGAGATTGAGACACTGAGGTTCCTCCAGAAGTGTTGAAAACCCATATCAACCAGTTGCATATGGTGACTTCATCACAGGAAGAAATTACAAAAAGCAGCTGGAGCAGTGTAAGAGTCAAGATGAAATGTGAGAGATCGTAAGTCTGTTAACAAGAGTCAGAATCATCTGCTCTTGACCCTCCTGAGTACACAAAGTACACAAAAAAAGTGTGTGTAAATGAGATATAAAATATGATAAAGATCTCATTAATTATAATAACCATTATTAATAATTATACTGAAGAGTGTGCCCATATGTTCATAGTGCTATGACAGTCAATGCAGAGCTGTATCTTATATTCACTGTAATTTCAGGGAATTTCGGTGTCCACTGTCGTGAAGAGTGCCAGTGTGGAGATTATCCGTGTCACAGAGAGTCCGGGGAGTGCATCTGCCCTCCAGGCACCAAGGGGGATTACTGTGCCATGCGTATGTATCTTCTCTTCCACGTACTGTACCTGCAATTTGTGTTGGTACTAAGTAATAATAAGTCTTGTAATAGGTACAGCATTGTTAATTTTAATTGGTTGTGTCATAGAGAAAGTAATTTACTAATAATCAAGGTGCTAACAATTTTCTTATTTTAGTACTGTACAGTATTGCATTTTACTTTACCACAAGTAATTTATGGGAAGAATTATGTACAGTATATAATTGTGGTTTATTAAGGCTCTTCTTTTATTCACGTAGATTATTTCCAGCTAAATTTTTTACTCGGGTACAGTATTGACATTTATGGCTTCATTGGCTGATTCCCTGTACTGTATTTATATTCTTTTGGGTATAAATCATTTGTAACTCACACAAGGGGGAGTTACAGTAGACTTTTTAGAGAAGTAGTCTATATTAATACAGCTGTATCTTGATGAGATCTCCTCCGTCATGTCTGGTTTGTAGTGTTGTTAGTACAGATGCACTTGTCTCCTTTGGAAAAAGTTTAACTCATTGTTCTTTTGAAGGTGAAGTCACCATTTGACAAGCAAATGTGTAATCTGTGTAGCAGTGATGGGTTTATCATGAGGCTGTATCAAATGTTTATTCAGGTAATAGGAAATATATGTTGGCTGGATAAGCTATTGGCATATAATGTGTTAATTTTTCCAGCATGTGGAACGGGCAGGTATGGCCGAGGGTGTGAACAGGTGTGCGAGTGTCACAATGGAGGAACCTGTCATCCAGCCACAGGCCACTGTTCCTGCACCCCAGGCTGGCTTGGACCCAAGTGTGATGAGAAGGATGGTAAGCTTGTGTTCACACACTGAAATAAATATACAATATACAACACACTCGCACACACAGAACCAACACAAAACAGAACTTCAGAACCTTGTATACCACATATGTTAAGCCAATCCTGGAGTATGCAGCCCTAGCATGGAGCCCATACCTTGTCAAGCACAAGACAAAGCTGGAAAAAATTCAGAGGTATGCCACCAGGCTAGTTTCAGAACTAACAGGCATGAGTTATGAGAAAAGGCTGCATGAACTGCACCTCTCCTTGCTGGAAGACAGAAGAGTTCAGGGAGACATGATCACCACATTTAAAATTCTCACGGGAATTGACAGGGTAGACAAGGATGGATTATTTAACATGGGCTGGTACATGCACAAGGGGACACAGGTGGAAGCTGAGTACCCAAATGAGCCACAGAGACATTAGACAGAACCTTTTCACTGTCAGAGTAGTTAGTAAATGGAATGCACTAAGAAGTGATGTGGTGGAGGCTGACTCCATACGCAATTTCAAATGTAGATATGATAGAGCTCGAGAAGCTTGGCATTCTGTAGACCAGTAGATTGACGTTTGAGAGTCGGGACCAAAGAGCCAAAGCTCAACCTCCACAAGCACAATTAGGTGAATACATATTTTCCAGAACTGAAAAACAAGAGTGACGAGGAGAGGTTAGAAGCATTAAATGTGCCAAAGCTAGAAGATAGAAGAAAAAGGGGTAATATGATCACCACTTAAAAGATAATAACAGGAATCTACCAAATTGACAAAGAGGAATTCTTCAAACCAGCAACTTCAAGAACAAGAGAACACAGATTCCAGCTAAGGAAACAAAGGTGTCAAAAATAATAATAGAAAGTGTTTTTTTGCAAGTGGTAGAAGATTGGAACAAGTTAAGTGAGAAGGTGGTGGAGGCCAAAACTGCAGTACAGCTTTAGTTTCAAAGTGTTTTATAACAGAGTGCTGGGAAAATGGGACACCATGAGCGTAGCTGTCATCCTGCACATCCTGCACTACACTTCGATAATTACACACACATACACACAATATACACATTAAAAAGACTCATTTAAACACAATTAAGAAAACATAATCTAATCCTCTTAAAAAAAAGGTTCATCTGAAAAATTTCAAATGTTTGTTAAAATGATACAATTCTTATAAATATCAAATATACAGGGTGTCTAATTATTCACCCCATTATAAAAATTAATAAAATCATTTTTACAGGGGCTACTGTATCTTAAGATGATTTGAAGTAATTAATAACAAGACATTTTTGTTTTAAGAAAACAACCACAGTTCAGTCTTACATCAGCAAATCATAATAATTCATTTATTAAGGCTTATTATAATGGGGTGAATATTTTGTCGACATTGTTGTCACTTTCCTTTCATTGTGATGTGCACTGTTATATTCCACAGTCTTGCATTTTTCAATATTAAAAATCATTGCCATTCTTCCTACCATTTGTGGAGTTCGTGGAGTTTTCTTTGTAAGACCTTGACATCATTATCACTTCTTACTACTTTCCCATAAATTTTAGTGTCCACTGCAAATTTGATAATGTAGTTTGTAATATTCTTATCATGTCCTTGATGTATATGACAAAAAAGGATTGGCCCCAAAATGAAACCTTGTAGCACCCAACTAACCATATTTCTCTAGTCAGATTCATACCTCTTTGCTTTCTTTATTTTAACCAATGTTTTATCTATTCTAGAATTCTACTATTTATTCCATGTGCTTTCCCTTTCCTTGCCAGTCTCTCATGTGGTACTTTATTAAAAACTTTAGTAAAGTTCATGTATGCTACATCTACTGCAAATCCTTTGTTACGTATAGCTTGTTACCGTTTCCAAAAATATAACAAGTTTGTAAAGCTTGATCATGTTGCGTTTAATTACTACATTATTCATGGTGCGATGATGAATGCTTCCCTCTCTTAGGATTCAATCCATTTGCTTGCAGATATAGACATGCGAGGTCAAACTGATCTGATGGTGGTTTTCTGCTGTGCTCTTTCTGCGTATTTTATAAATAGGGGTAACATTTATTCAATCTAGGGGGAAACAATTCCTTGGTCCAGAGATTTTCTGAAAGTGTTGTTTCAGTGGTAGACATAGTTCATCTGCCAATTCCTTAATGACAGGAATGAAATCTGTCCACACCTGGGGCTTTTGAATCTTTGTCAGTGCCATTTCTGATTATATAGCATGTTATGAGGACATCCCTTAATTCATTCTCTTCACCTGCTTCAAATATTTGTGTGAGTATTGGGATATTGTCTAAACACACTAATACTGTATAAACACTAAGAGCTAGAATGTTGGTCCCTTGGGTGTGGGCTGTCATATGCTGTGTGGAGGGGAGGGGGAGGTCCTGCACCAGGTCAAGAAATTGTTCCCCATCAGCTTGTGATGTTAGATTCACCCAGTCTATTGTCTCGTGATTAAAGAGCCCAAGCCCATCACAAGGGCTTGGGTTTCCACTGCTGGATTGATCACATTTTACAGATCATCAACTTCCTCTGCTGCTGCTGAGTCTACCCTGTAGCATACTCCCACTGTCAGTTTGCTACCATTCTGAGGTATATTGCAACATACAGATTCTGATGATCCTATGGCATTCAATTCCTCATTATTGGTTGCATCCAGGTTCTCTTTCACATACAGCATTATTCCTCCCCCCCTCCCCCCCCCCCTCCCTATGCTCTTGTTGGCCTGTCCTTTCTGAATGTTGGATGGTATCTTGGAAGCTTTCCTTCTGGGAGTAATTCCCCTTCTATAATGTCCTCTTGTCCCCATGTTTCACTGATGCCAATGATGACAAGATTCTCAGCCTCGGTGTATGAACACAGTGCATCACATTCATTTGCTAGGCTTCTTGCATTTGTGTAGAATCAATTTAAGCTTCTGACGTTGCTTCTAGGGAGCCGAGAAATTGCCCCAGCATTTTAAACACTCGTCAATACACTGTCACTTTGGTTTTGTGCCCGTTTGTCATCATATACAGCTAGCTCAGCCTGGCTGGGTGAAGGACTACATCCTCTCTTCCAACCACAGTCATGATCACCTGCCCTCTCCTTATCCTTAACTTTGAGTCTTTGTACTGATCCGTGTCTAACGTTTAGTGTTTCTCTTAGTACTTTATACTTTGTAACTTATTTGCTGCGTAATAATATTTTAATTATAAAAAATATAGCATGTCAGATTCCAGTGAATAACTTGTATAATATTTTGGTCCTTCTAATATTTTCCAAGTGTAGTATTCTAATAATTTATTAATCTCTCCTGCATGTACTCCAGGGAATACAGATTTAAAATTTGTAGGTGGTCCCAATAATTTAGATGTTTTATTGAGTGTATTCTAGGGGTAAAGGCTCTTTGCATGCTCTCCAGGTCAGCAATTTATCCAGCTTTGAATGGGGCTGTTAGTGTGCAATAATATTCCACTCTAGAGAACACTAATATCTTAAAAAAGTATCATTGGCATTATATATAAATGAAAATCATTTTGAGGCAATGGCGTGACTTGAGCTTGTGTTCTGGTGAACACTGGTTGAAGTAATGTGCATATATATATACTGTATGTATGTAATGTGTGTGTGTATATATATATATAATATATATATAATATAATAGTATGTATGTATGTATAATTTTAGGAAATTTAGCAAATGACAATTTTCCAGTATATTTTATGTATTTATTACTTATCTTTTTATGCATTCAGGTGAATGGAGTGAGTATTTTAATTTCTGTTCCTTTCCCATGGGAGCCCCTTTTGGCTCCCTGAAGCTATCTCGCTGAGATGATTCCTAACTACTAGGTCGCATTAGTTCTATTTAGCCTACCAGGGACCAGAGCCAGAACCTGGCCTCCATACACAGGCACAGAGAGTAGGAAACACTCCGCCGTCCCTCTAGGAAAGCATCCAGAAAGTCGGCAAAACAATGCAGACTACTTTGTTTACTCTGACTTTGATACTTGAAGGTGCTTGTCGAGTTCTCTTTTGAATGTTGTGAGAGGTCAGCCAAGTATGCCCCGAGTATGTAGGGGGAAGAATGTTGAAAAGTCTTGGGCCTTTGATGTTGATAAAGTTCTCTCTCAGCATATTTATTGCACCTCTGCTTTTCAGTGGGGCTATTTAGCACTTCCTGCCATGCATTCTGATCTCGTGTGGTGTTATTTGTGTGTGCAGAATTAGAACCCATTATTTCTAATATTTTTCAAGTTTAAATTATTATGTCTCTCTTCTACCTGCACTCTAGGGAATACAGATTTAACATTTTTAGGGGGTCCCAAAAATTTAGATGTTTTATCAAGTGGATTCTAGCAGTAAAACATCTTTGCATGCTCTCTAGGTCAGCAATTTCTCCAGCTTTGAATGGGGCTAGTATGTAGCAGTATTCCACTCTTAGAGAGCACTAATGTCTTAAAAAGTATCATCAATGGTATGGCATCTCTTGTTTGGAAGGTTCTTATTATCCAACCTGTCGTTTTTCTTGCAGTTGTGATGTATACTTTGTTGTGTACTTTAAAAGTGAGGTCTTCTGACATGATTACTCCTAAATCTTTTACATTGATTTTTCTTTCAATAGTGTGATTTGACTGCATTTTGTATGTGGTTTCTGCTTTGATGTTTGAGTTTTTTCTATAGAGTAATACAGTAATTGGAACTTGTCCTGATTAAACATCATGTTATTTTCTGTGGCCCATTGAAAGACTTGATTAACATCAGATTGGAGGTTTGCTGTATCCTCTATATTGTCTACTCTTATGAAAATTCTAGTATCATTTGCAAAGGATGATACAGAACATGTTTGTACTGTATTGTCTGTCTGATATGAGGACGAGGAAGAGTAGCGGAACAAATATGGTACCTTGAGGTATTGAGCTTTTCATGGTGGATGATTCAAAAGTTATAGTGTTGACTATTACACCCTGGGTTCTGTTTGTTAGGAAGTTGAAGATCCATCTCCCTACTTTGCCAGTAATTCCTTTTGCATGCATTTTGTGTGCAATAACACCTTGGTCACATTTGTGTAATGCTTTTGTAGAATCTGTATATATTACATCAGTGTTTGTTTGTCTTGCATGGCATCTAAGGCCATGTCATAGTGATGTAGCAATTGTGAGAGGCAGGAGCACCCCTGTTCTGAACCTGTGATGCTCAGGGTTATGTAGACACTGTGATTCCATGTGTTTTGTGATTGTCTTAGCACTCTTTCAAAACTTTTTATGATGTGCAATGTTAGAACTATTGTTCTACAATTTTTTGCACAAGCTTTACTACCTCCTTTGTGAAGTGGCACAATCTCTGCCATTTTCAGTACTGTATTTCAGAGATAACACCAGTATCTAGGCTGTCTCCAAAAGATGTTTAAAAGAGCCAAGGCTAGGCTGACCTTGGATCATGGTAATGAGATTATAAACTCTCGACATAAGTTTAATGATTCATTTGTTCACAAACATGTGGTTATATTTGAGCATAGTGATGTTTCCACACATTTAACTAAATAAATTTCTCAAATTGCACACTATTGAATGTTATACTTTAGATATTTGAAACATAGAATGCTCTATTTCATCATTTAGTAACAAGTGAGCATTGATTTAGACAGTTTAGATTTGCATACTAAATGTAGTACCAGCTGTTAAACATGTATCTTATTTTGCATCCTGTAAATGCTGTATGCATTCCCCAACATGAGTTCCTATTTTTGCTCTCAGTCTCCTTCATCACGGCGAGCGACCAACGAGGACGGGCAGATATCCCTGTTGAGCTCAGCTGATTACACTACTGATGGGGAAAATGTGTGTGATGTCACAGCACTGTGATTAACAGACAAGTAACTTGAGCTGCATATTGCTAGAAGATGATGGTAAAATTTATGTAAAACCGCCATGTATTACCGACGTTGATGCCGAGTGGTGGTACCTGTGTCCATGTGCCGAAAACTTTGAAATTACTGTATATCTCGGCGATTTATCACGTGCTATTGTTAATACAGTACATGTTCGTGAGTGATTGCTCAACAGCAAACTCCTGCACACCATCTCCTGGCTGTGCTTGCTCACAGATAATGATGAGTGACATTCGTTAAGAAAAAATCTGAATTTCTGGCATGTGTGATTCAAAAAAATGGCACATGAAAACAACAAATTATAAAATTCTAGTGATGCATTTCTGATTAGAACAACTGTGTGAAAATTTACAACAACAGAACTTCTTTAAATATACTACTGTATATGCATGTAAAGTGTGGTGTTCTAGTCTTGAACATCTAAATGTTAAGTTTTGTCCAATTATATCATCTTAATACGCAAGAAGAGTCAAAATTTTGTAAATATTTAAAACAACCAACTGTGAATTTTCGTATTCCTAGTGTAGGCGTGTTATATAAGTCTAATCTAGGCATACTGTATAAGTCGATACATATTTTCCCATTTTATGTGATGAAAGTTCTCTTTGTTATAGATGTTTCAGTTCAGATATCGAAAGCATCCCATGTTAGCCACATTGGATATGCATTAATTACACATTAAACTCATTATGATGATATTGCATGTGTGTGTTGATAGTTGTTTCCACAATTCAGTTCCTGGGCAGGACAGACAGTTCGGCACATTTCCTTTGACCTGATGTCGAGTTCACCTAGCAGTATGTATGTACAGGTACCTGGGAGTTATGCAACTATTGTGGGTTGCACCCAGAGGAAGGTCAGTAGTTGGCCCAGGGACCCTTCAATAAGCCTACATGCAGGCTTTCTGTCACGACAACAGGGAAACCATGACTTGGTTGTGTGTTTGTGTGTGCTGCAAACTATTTCATTTAATGTTGGCGATGCAATAATAGAGGATGTATTCCAAGATATACAGTATCTTAGTGGCTACAGTAAAGGGGTATAAATTGGATTAATTATTTGTAGATCTGGTTTAAATATCTCAAGCATAATTTAGATTTCAAAGCAATGTCAGCAACACTTAATACATCCAAACAAAATGTAAAAAGTAATTGTGAAATGTAATGAGTCTCAAAATGTTGCATACAAACATTTCCCATCAAAATCCACTTTTCTGATGCTTAATTTACAATAAATACTGAACAATTTTAAAAGTAATGAATGAATAATTGTAGTAGTTGGTAAATTTTTGTATTAAAAATATAGTGTCATCATAAGTTCATTATACTGTAAACTTCAAAGCCATAATTGTGTGTGAAATAGTTCCTGAGAGTGTGTGAGTGTGTACTCGCCTAGTTGTGCTTGCGGGGGTTGGGTTTCGACTCTTTGGTCCCGCCTCTCAACCATCAATCTACTTGTGTACAGATTCCCGAGCATCTCAAGCTGTACTCGCCTAATTTTGTTTGCGATGGTTGAGCTCTGGCTCTTTGGTCCCGCCTATCAACTGTCAATCAACTGGTATACAGATTCCTGAGCCTATTGGGCTCTATCATATCTACATTTGAAACTGTGTATGGAGTCAGCCTCCACCACATCTCTACTTAATGCATTCCATTTGTTAACTACTCTGACACTGAACAAATTCTTTCTAATGTTCTTGTGGCTCATCTTGGTACTAAATTTCCACCTGTGTTCCCTTGTTCGTGTTCCACCCATGCTAAAGAGTTTGTCTTTGTCCACCCTGTCAATTCCCCCGAGAATTTTGTACGTGGTTATCATGTCTCCACTTCTGTTTCCCATGTATGCGAGGTTCAGCTCCCTTAGTCTTTCCTCGTAGCTCATACCTCCTAGTTTCGGGACCAAGGCCAAAGGTCCCGGAACAAAGGTTTTTGAGGCCAAAACTTTCAGTGATTTCATTATACAACAAAGAGTACTGGGAAGACGGGATACCACGAGTGTAGCTCTCACCCCTGTAATTACACTTAGGTAATTCCACACATACAGGTACCTCGGGACTAGAATAGCTCCCAACTCAAAAAATTTGGCACGAGCGCCGTTTTCATGCTCGGTAGTTGACCATTTGTTCAGCACTCAAACACACACACACACAGACACAATGGACGAGTCGGTTTCCCAGTAGCTATCATTCAGTGCATACCACACTAAACTTCTCTGTAAATTTTTGTGTTTTCTTGGATATTTTTTTTATATTCTTAACATAAATAAGTCACTATGACATCCAAGGTGGTTAGTGACAAGAGCCAAATGAAAAGAGAATTAATTAGAACCATGACAGATGAACAAAAAACTCATACCAAACTATGAAAGTGGTGCCAGTGTGTGTGTTCTTGCTACAAATATCATTGGACAAGTTTCTTGTAAGAAAAGCATCCAGTGAGGCTCAAGAGGGAAAGAAAAAAAACAGCACAATTACCTGAAGTTTTTATGCTATGGGACTTCCCTTCCGAACCATTAAATCTCTATTCTTCTTCACCACCTACATATGCCATCTTCTCTCCTAAGTGCAGGTAATGTAAGAATATATTTTCGTTTATTTTATTGTATTCAAATGTGTATATTTTGTGATCTGGAATGAATAAATCCAATATACATTATTCCTTATGGAAAAATTAATCAGTACTCAAGAGTGACACTCGAATGGCCTTCTAGAACCAACTTGAGTACCGAGGTTATACATACAGACACTGTATGTACATTCTATAAAGATTACCTCCTTTTATTTTACCATATGTTTAAACAAGAGAATCTCTTGAAATCAATAATTTATGTAGAAGTACGGTGGTGAAAATATTATGCAGTGGCAATTGCCAAGTAGATAATTTAATTGGTGGCTGATTACATTATGTATAGTGTCCTGTCTCTTAGAGCTACTGTAATAATAATAATAATAGTACAGGTATTTTATTTATAAACAATAAGAAATATTCCATAAGGTTTGATGACATTGCTTATAGTACATATTTATATATTTTTTTAATAAACCCATTAATCACATGCACTGTGTCAAGCAAAACAGCACTCTACAAGGTGGAGGTGTTTGCATCAGTATGTCAACTTGCATTCTTTTACTTTGTGTATATGCTATGCACTATGTTTTTATAGAGTGCCTATAAGAAGAAAAAAAAAGTGATGTCTCAAAAGTTACTGTTACTCAAATAATTACTGTATTACATTTCAACTGCCTCTTTCTATATGTACAATTACTTTCCCTTCTCCAGGTCTTTAGTTAGGTTTCTTATTTTGTATCTATGCATACTGCACATGAATGCTTCTCTGTAGATCATATTTTTATCAGCAAAAACGTTTGTAAATTATTAATGCCTTTATTTTAGAGTTTCAAAGTATAATATCAAATAAGGATCTCTTGAGGAAACATTTCCATGCATATTGACCCTCCAGTGAGTGAAGTGATAGATGTTGCACCTTGGAAAAATAATCATAACTTTCCACATAACTCTTCTGTTGGAGGGTGGATAAATACTGTAGTAATGGCAATGTCCTGAGCATTAATAGATATTCCTATATAAATTCCTTCCAAATAGCAATTTAAAGACTCAAAATTTGGAGTGTGGGGTGAAATTAGACATATGGTAACCATACTGGGTGCTGCATGCAGTGAGCAAAGACAGCCGAGGTCAGTCATATCTGCCACATGCCGACATTTGCCTCAAGTTTTAGGTGGGCTTTCAAGCTATTTCTTATTTGCATATATTCTTGATTTTATGGTAATGACAGATTTGCTCAGCAAAATGATATCTTATGAAAGATTTGAGCTTAAAGAATAATATACATAAATATGTTGTGGTCCAACAGTTTAATAAACAGTTAAGCATTTCTGGAGAAAATTCGCCTGCAGTATAAAACTCTTATAACATAATTTTTAATCTTACACGATTCATAAACTTAGATCAATATAAAAATAATAAAAACTGCTTTTTTTTTCAAGTGACAATGCATCTGTGTGCCAAATCTTGGGTTAATTTTTCCCCCAAAAAAAGAAACTTGTGCAAAGTTATGACAAAACATTTATGAATAAAGCTGAATACAGTACAGTACTTTGTACAGAAATTTATCATTTGTTTAATTTTACACTACAGACAAGTTACCGTGTCTGGGAATATGACAAAAATAAAGGTATGTACCGAGTAAGAATGTGTTGATGTCTTCTGTTTTTAGGCTTCATGTTTTTTCTACACACATTTGCTAATTATATCATGATGCCAATTAATTATGTCAATAATGAGCAATGATTTCAGTAGAAAATGTGTTAGTGAATTTTATAATAGCCTATCTTATAATACTAATACTCTATTGTATCTTGTACTTGCTGGGCTGTAGTTGTATTATATATGGCCATCTCATATGATGCATTTAAAATCATTTCAATACTTCACAGAACAGCTCATTCATTTTTATGTTTTAATAAGGCATTGACCGCATTAATGATAGATTTTTGTAGCATTTCTTGGGTTATGTATGAATATTTTTAATAATTTTTGTAAAAATCACTGCCATATGTTTATAGCTTTAAATATCAGTTAAATTTGTCTTCTCGAACAAAATGTATAATATTACCTCCATTTATAATTGCCCACATACTATGTTTATCTCTAATATTATTGTTATAATAAATTTGAGAACTGATTCACCATCAAATTATACCTTTTCATTATTAAAATTCATATACAGTACATGGATAATACAGGAAAGGAGTACCACCTCTGGCTGGAAGAAGGGGGGACCCTTAGCCTCAGAGGAAATCACACATGACGCATTAGAGGTAATGTTTAGGTCCCCTCCACTATAAAAGGTATTTAATAAGAAAACAGACTTTTGCTTAATAAAAACTGTTTCAAAATATTTTATTAATAATAATTTACAATTTTCTTCATTAAAGTGAATCATTTTAAAAGAAAATTAAGATGTAATATATGACTCTGGACGATCCAGGTCGGTGGCCTGGTCGCCATGTGAGGGGACGCTGATGCCACAACAAACCCAATACCGACAGACCGTCGATAATATCGACCGCAGACCGGTATAGCAGGCTCCAGATACCGGTCTCCCAAACCGGTTGTTAATACCGGCAGATCGGTATAAAAGAGGCCGTTAAATTGAGTGGATACTGTAATGTGCATATCCCTTAACAAACATGTCACTAAAATGTACATGTAAGAAGGTAGTGCATTATAAAAGAGAAATTTAAATACTACTTGTTTTTACAAATGTTAGCTTTTTAATAACATATTTATTGAGGGCCTGAATAATATGGCAGGTGAATGACCATAAAATTCTGATCACCTCTACAAAATAAATCCTTAAATATACTTTAGTGAAAATATATGTTCTTTGTACCAAGTAATGACATTAAATACACAGTAATAAAATATAATTACGGTACTAAAATATAATATAGTACTGCATTACTATTACAAAGTGAAAATCTACTACAATATAACAAATTAAACATGCATCATTTAATTCCTCAAGGAATAGTAGTTTTAACAACAAATTTAAATAAACTATACATTATGAGAGACTTGGCTATATTTCTATAAATACAACTAAAAGAAAATGTATACTTTATAACTCATTTATGTATACTGTATTAGCATAAACTAGACACCAAATCAAGATGAGGCTCCCTAATGTGCTGAGTGGAGTGTAACATAACTTTTGCTTTTAATATTACGTATAAACTTTCCTTATAATACAAATACAATATTACAATTTTTTTTACTTGACAAAGACCTGCAATAAACCAAGATACAAATGAGTGATTATTAAAGTTTTATGCACATTATTTCATGCTTATTTCTTCATGCATCCGAAGGAGTCCGAGAGCTTGATACTGAGAGATCACCACCAACAAAAAATAAATTTGAATTAAGATTGCTGCAAAAATACTGATAGCTGAAGAAATGATCACAGTGTGAGTTCCAAATACAACAAGAACCACAACAGCAAAACCAAAGAAGATTATCACGTTGATCATGTCATGTATAATGAATGGTACAAGGAGACCTCGACGGTTCTGTAACAAAAGGATCATCCATATTTAAAATATTATAAGACTGCGTATAGCTATTCTAAAAGTAAACTTACTATGTATAATGCTTTAACATTAGTATATTAATACTGTATATTGTTAAGTAGAATCAATTGAAGGATAATCTTAGATTGGTTCTTAAGTTATCCTCTCCAACATTAGAATAATGCTCCCTAAAGAGCTTCCTATCTAATTACTGTATAAGCTACACCAACCCCATATCAGTGCAGGGAGTCGGCTCAAGATTCTGAGTCCCACTTCAACCTTCAATTGTCTAGTGAAATTGCTAACTCAATAACTTTTGTCTTATAATAGTAATATTATATTTAAAAAAATATAGACAATCTGAGTACAGTGGTCACTTAGTAGATACAGTATTTGTAGGTTTTATAATGCCAATAATTTTGTACACTTTCAGGCATAACTTAATAGTTAGTGCTATGTAATGTAAACCGACATATATAAATTATTAATTTATTTTCTTATTTAATCTTTTTACATATAAAAGGAAACAATGGATTATGTTGTCAAAGGGTTTGGTAAATAACTGATACTCTCACAAAACCATTAATAAAGGAAGTCTGCAACCTTTGACAAGCCGCTGACTTCCTATCCTTGTCATGACCACTAGTGCTAGTGGCCCTCAGGTAAATTCAGGTATGTTTCAGAAGTCATTTATTCTATTCCTTGCATGGGTTACTTAAGATAGTTTTCCACTGCTGTTTACAAGTTCTATGGGGGTTTTCCCCAGTCAATCAATCCTCTTATTATTAAAACTGCTTATTATTACCCCTCTCGCTTGATAATTTTTATGGACTAAGATTCTATAACTGGAAACTTGGCGGTACCAAATACAACTGTTCCAGGGGTAGCCAACGCTGCTCAGATGAAAGCAAGGAGCAGCAAGAGGGCCCGGTCAGAGCAATGTGTGCAAATAAAACCTTGCATACGAATGGGCCGAATGCTTGTCCAAGACCACAAGTGACAAAAGACAAAATCTGTTCTCAGTCCAGCTTGTTGTTCTAAGGTTTCCCTACATCAAGAAGAGAATCAGTTTAAAGTGGCCTCTCCTAACCTACCAGAGGACCCAAAACAGAAAACGAGACAATAAATACGTCACTTTCACAAGCTGCTTCCATTTTTTAGTACGACAATTTTTGGCCTTGTGTAACACATACGAGCAAAAAGCGATGTTCTTTGTAGGAGGACAGGTTGCTCAGTCAGGCACATCATGATCTCATCTCGTTACTTCACTTATGATCTTTACATTATTTATCTTAGGGTTACCATATCACTTGTTTTATTGTGCCTACAGTATCTTTTCTGGTGGGTTATATCTAAGTTTAAGCCCATCCTTATATCTAAGTTTAAGCCCTAATATGTACATACTATCTGAGGCCTAATATAGTACATGTGTGTGCTATAATATGCCTAGGAATATTTAAGTTTGATTTTTTAGCTTTTTTTTTTCCAGTCTCTATATAGTGAATAGTACCAAATTCTATCAAATTTTCCATTATGTCAATACAGTGGTACCTTCGTTTACAAATTTAATTTGTTCCCAGAGATAGTTCATCAACCGAAAATTTGAAAACAAACAAATTTTCCCATAAGAAATTATGTAAATTTATTTATTTATTTTGTATTTATTTATTTATATATACAAGAGTTCTTACATTCTTGTACAGCCACTAGTAAGCATAGCATTTCGGGAAGTCCTTAATCCTATGTTCCCTGGAATACGACCCCGCAAAAAATTGTTTAATAACCAAGTACCCATTTTATTGTAGAGTTAAACAGAGGCCACATTTAAGGATATGTGCCCAGTAAATCCTCCCCGGCCAGGATACGAACCCAGGACAAAGCGCTCGCGAAACGGAGGCGAGCGTCTTAACCACTACACCATGGGGAAATTGAATTAATCCATTCCACACACCCAAAAATATTAACTTAAAAATATATTTTATAAATAATAGTACTATACTCATGTTTTGTACTACAGTATGTATATCTTACCTTTATTGAGGACTCTAGTTGGCGTATGGAAGATCGTGAGAAGGGGAAGGAGGAGGAGAGGTGTTAGTGTTTGGAAGGGAAGTCCCCTTCCATTATAACATTAGGCAGTGATGACATTTCTGGGGTGCTCTCTGTCTTATGTTTTGCAGGCATACCACTAGGACCTGGTTGTAGCTCACTGTTTGCTTGTCTTACTAAGAATCTGCCTAAAGACACTTGTTGTTTCCCTATGCTTTAACACTTGTCTGTATCGAGACATCACATTCATTCACTTTGAATGATCTCTTGTTTTTTCTCTATCATCATCCTCACAACTATTTTCTTAGATTGAACTTTACCTCTTGAGTTTCTTGGGACCCATAGCATGATATATAATAATTACTTTTATGTTAAGAAACCCCCCAAAAGAGCACAAAAAACAATGAAATTCTTCACAAATAATTGAAGCGCGGTCGACACTAGGGCGGGACACACTGGTAAACTGATGCGTGCCACCAGAACCACGTGCTTGGTCGACCTTAATGTGCATCAACAAATTCGAGAAGCGAGGGTAGCCTCGAATACCAAATCATATTTTACTAAGAAATTGAGCTCTAAAACCAAAAAATTTGTAAAGAGGGCCTTTGTCAACTGAGGTTCCACATAGTTACAAAAAACACTATCTAAACAGAAGGATGGGTTGCTAATTTTAGGGTCAATTTCAGATCCCCAGGCTCACATCACCTTGTTGAGAGAGCCACATTCTGGACACAGGTTTCGTTAAATTAGGGCGAGTCTTGGAGGCCTCGTACAATTTTCTAGGTTTGGCAAAAGGGATAACTGCTTAATTCATACACTAAATGATCAATTGAAATGGGCTTTGGAAATTACCTTATTTGATGATCAACACACCTTACAATATTCTAAACACTTCTATTATGAAAACTGTAAATATTATTCTTAAATATAAATTTTTATGAATTTTTAGTGTTGCAATTTTGTAACACTGTTGTTCCAATAAGTACTGTACTAATAAAACAGAAAGATACATACCCGCCTGACACCATGGATAAGCATGGAGGATGTGATGACTAATAGCAAAGCTGTGCCGAACAAGATGTAAATCACAATTTTTGCTGGAAAAATACACATTTTTAATACAGTAATCTTAAAAACGGTAGAGTTAATTTAATATCTTACATTCTTATTTCTGATAAATACTTATATAGGTAAGACACAAATGAAATGAAACTTGCACAACAAAATCCAGCTATTGATTAGACTATGTATATTACTTACACTACTGCAATTTCATTATATATAAATTTAGATGCAGCAATAATTTGTAACAGAAAACAGCATTGAACATAATGAAATGCCTCTTTCTGGTAGTCCCCCCGGTGGCTCCCTGAAGCTATCTTGCTGAGGAGGTTCCCCACATCCGAGTCTCATGAGTCTCGGATCCTGGCCCCTCTCATAGAGAGGCAGGAAGCAGGGGACAATTATCATCAACCTCACAAGGAAAATAACCAGAAAGTCAGTGACGCTTTGCAGATAACTGCAAGGTTCATAAAAAACAAAGCATTGAAACAGCTAAACGAGAGTGCAGATGATTCAGTCACAACAATTGGTTCACTCAAAATTAGCTCAAGCCCATTATTACCAACCGACACCACCAGGTGGCTCAAGAGCCCCATCCAACAGCCAGCTTCCTGGTCAGTCCAGTGTGGATGCCCAACAAACTGATGAACTAACAAACCAAGTATGGAGGAAGGCAGGCAGGAAGACACCAGGGTTCTACCAGAAAGAGAGGTTCCATTAAACTGCACACTGGTTTTCTGGAAGGAGCCCCTTGGGTGGCTCACAGATGCTATCCAAAGAGAAAAAGGAAAGGAAGGGACTTACAAGGGAGGAGGCGGAGGAGAGATGTTAGGTACTAGGTCAAAGAAAAGACTGTGTATCAGAAGACTGACAGGGACCAGGAACATTGACAAAATACTAAGCTGCCAGGACCCTATTAGACCTTCAAAATCCCAGAGCCCGAATATTAGCACACAACATGTTGGAGAAAACTGTAGCCAAAGCAGCATACAGTATTTACAAACATCATGGGCTTGAGAGTAGACTACAGACTGGCCAACTTTGATGACACTGAATAACCTGACACATACAAACCTTGAAACAGAATCAAGGAAATAGAATCAACCTACATGTCATTTGCTGGTGCAGAACCAGTGGCATGCAAGCAGTGATTACAAGCAGCCACCGGACAAAGTAAATGATGTAGCCCTACCAGACCAACCAAGCATCAATGAAGAAAGGACCCCACTAAAGACAGCAGACTCATTTTTCACCAGGAAAGGAAAAAAATGCTATAGAGAACAAACCACCCACCAGGGCCAAAAGAACAGCACCTTTACCTCCAGAGAAGAGAATGAAGCTCCCGAACCCTGCAGCCAGTGGTGAGAGCCAACAATAAAATGAAGTAAGAAAAATATTCCTGACTAAAGGGACAACTGTGAGCAGAGGAAAGTAAAAAAATTACCAATGCCTCATCAAGAGACCATGACAACTCAGCCACTCGGGCACAAATTCATAAACAACAAATTGCAGGTAAAGGATAATATCCAGAGGTTGAAAATGGGAAACAGATTCACGGAAAATGAAAAGGAAATGTGTGAAACATTAAACGAAAAGTTCCAAAGTGTGTTTGTACAAAATGAAATCGTCAGAGAACCAGACACAATAAGAATTCCAGAGAACAACATAGAGCACATAGAGGTGTCTAGAGACAAAGTGGAAAATATGCTCAAGGAGCTAAGTAAGAACACAGCAGTTGGCCCAGATGGATTTTCACCATGGGTTCTGAGAGAATGTGCATCTGAGCTCAACATTCCACTTCACCTGATTTTTTAGGCATCCCTGTGTACACACAACCTATAAATTGAGAGAAATCTTTAAAGAAGTCTGATAGAGAGATCTAGGGGTAGTTCTAGATAGAAAACTATCACCTGAGAATCACATTAAGAACATTGTGTGAGGGGGCCTATGCCACACTTTCTAACTTCAGAATTGCTTATAAATACATGGATGGCAAAATATTAAAGAAATTGTTCACGACTTTTGTTAGACCAAAGCTGGAATATGCAGCAGTTGTATGGTGCCCTAGGTGAGGGCCACCTCAAGCAATGAAGACCTCTATGGAAGTGAACTCCTGAACATACCAAAGAAGATAATTCTGACAGTGCAGGGACAGTGCTCAGGAGCATCCAGGGAAGGCAGCCCTAAGTACATGCAGCTCCAAGCACACTAAGGCCAGGCTCATGCTACACCACAATGTACACAGAATGCTGCAAAGGGTAAAACCCCAAAGCATTTAGCTGAAAAGCATTGGAGCATGCATAGCAGAGAGGCAGTCATATGTGTGACTGCATCAGTGTAAGAATTGAGGGCTTAGGCCATTGAACACTGAGCCTTTTTACTCCTTCCCCAAACGAGTTGGGGGAGGCAGAGCGCATGAGCACACATTAGTTTTAATAGATTCAGTCATTTGTTTACATAACTTGGAGAGTACATTAGGTGGGTTTAAATTTAAATTTAAATTTTGCCCTGAGGGATGAGTTTATTGGGCAGCGCCACTCATCCTGTGAGTGGACATACCACCATAGTAGCATGTATAACACTCCCCAACAGGAAGAAAACCGGGTGGGTTTTGAGGCTTTTCTCTCTTTTGAGCATAGCAGTGGAACCAACATGCAGCAAATATCAATACTTTGGCTTATCTGTCATGAAGCTTCATCAGAAAACAGTACAAGGTACAGTAAATGATTCCCAGAGCATCATTAAATAGTGTAGTAGAACCTACATTACAACCTACCTAAATCAATGTTTTCCCTGAATATCTCAAGCACATTCTTAGCTTCTTCTTGTAGGTCAGCATAGTCATCATCATCACTGTAGATAGGGCGTGGGCTTGGCTCGAGTGAGGTTACCGAGTTTGTTCCGCTGCTCAGTAGAGAAAGTATCACCAACACCACGGCCAGCATCAGGCTGTTCAATAGGGCCCCAATCTGTAAAACAATGGATCTGTAATTTTTCTGATATTTAATTATATACTCTCTAAATAAAATGAGATGCATGGACATTTTTCCTAAAATCAGATGGCCATGATTGACAATGGTATTGCAAAGACTAACATAAAAATACAGGGAATTATTATTTTTAATAAACTCTACATGTCATTTAAATAATTGTGTTAATCAGATATACTGTACCTTATACTGAACACTGCTGAGCTCCACAAAATATGATTCATCCACTTCTTTAAGCACAAATTCCTATAAACTAACTTCCCAGGGATTTTCTCAATCAGAAGTGTTCAAGTTGGCTATTTTTACCTTTATAATAATAATAATAATAATATAATTATTATTATTAATATAATTATTATTATTATTAATATAATTCTTATTATTATTATTATTGTTATTATTATTATTATTGTTATTATTATTATTATTACAGTAATATTAATATAATAATATTAAAATTATATTCATAATTTTTATTCACAAGAAGGTGTGTACAAAGAACATAAGAGTAATGTACAACTTTAGGGACAGGTGTTACACATACTAACAAAGCCACTATTATGCAAAGCATTTTGGACAAAACTTAAAAATATAGGAAAAACTTAACTAAGGGTGTGAGGGGGTAAAACTATACTAAAAGAGAAGCAAGCTAACACAATTAGAACATTCAAGGAAAATAACAAATGAATACAAAAATGGGTGATACTTAAGGATGACAGGTATAGACTATTACATTATGGAGTCAGTAGTTCTAGCAACAATACAGTAATAGTTTATTCACAGAATGGAAATACAAGGTGTAATTCGGAAAAAGCAACTGAACTTTCATAGCATTTTCTTGGACCCTAAACAGGACATAGTAATATAGTATACTGTACTGTAATTTAAGTTGAAGAGTAAGTTTGTTAGCAGATGAACTTATTTAGTTCACTATTCACAGTGTCATTTAGAAAAGTGGGTTAGCATGTGAGATGAAGGTTGTATCAGCAGCAAATAGAATTGGCTTCAAATGTTGTGTGGTATTTGGAAGATCATTGATATATATACGAGAAAGAAGAGTGGACCAAGTATACTACCTTGTGAAATGCCAATATTAATTGCTAGAATAGAAGCAGCAGCAGCGTTCACTTAACCTAATACATGCAGCTCTTGACAAAAATGAGTACCCCATAGATCTGTTTGTAGACCTACGTAAGGCTTGACACTTAACAACAATAACCTTCTCAAATGCCAAAACTATGGAGTTAGAGGTCACTCCCTTCAGTACTTCCTAACCACTAGGGGTGGACGGTAGATCAAGCTCAAGTTCAAGTAAGTTTATTGAGAAAGGTAAAAAAAAAATACATCTCAAAGGGATAGAGTAGCTTAGGCTATTTCTACCCCCCTTGGACGGTAGATCGACGGTCTCGCTTCATGCAGGTCGGCGTTCAATCCCCGACCGTCCAAGCGGTTGGACACTATTCCCTCCCCCCGTCCCATCCCAAATCCTTATCCTGATCCCTTCCCAGTGCTTTATAGTCGTAATGGCTTGGGGCTTTTCTTTGATAATTCCTTCCTTCCTTCTCTTCAGTACTTGCAATCTTACCTCATTAACAGATAGCAGTATGTTTAAGCAAACAGCATTTAGAAAGAGCACCATTGGTCTGCTGTTATGGGACCTGAAGCAGTATTGGTTGGAACTAAGTATTTTGTGCTTTTTAGAAAGGAACAGAGCTGTTTGTACACGAGTTTCTAAACAAACTTGGAAATGGTGGGTAAAAGGGAGCCGGTCGGCCGAGCGGACAGCACGCTGGACTTGTGATCCTGTGGTCCCGGATTCGATCCCGGGCGCCGGCGAGAAACAATGGGCAGAGTTTCTTTCACCCTATGCCCCTGTTACCTAGCAGTAAAATAGGTACCTGGGTGTTAGTCAGCTGTCACGGGCTGCTTCCTGGGGGTGGAGGCCTGGTCGAGGAACAGGCCGCAGGGACACTAAAGCCCCGAAATCATCAAGATAACCTCAAGATAGTATCGATATTGGTCTAATTATTTTTATTTCAGTGAGATCTCCACCTTTATTGAGTGGAGATCCACTGTTTAACAAGGGGGTAACTCAACCATGCCCGGGTCTGTGTCTGCAACGAACACGGGCAAGGGGGGGGGGACAGCAAGGAACACGGGCAAGGGGGGGGGGGCAGACAGCAAGGAACACGGGCAGGGAGAAGACAGCAAGGAACACGGGCAGGGAGAAGACAGCAAGGAACACGGGCAGGGAGAAGACAGCAAGGAACACGGGCAGGGAGAAGACAGCAAGGAACACGGGCAGAGGGGAGGCCAGCAAAGAACACGGGCAGGGAGAAGACAGCAAGGAACACGGGCAGGGAGAAGACAGCAAGGAACACGGGCAGAGGGGAGGCCAGCAAGGAACACGGGCAGAGGGGTCAGACAGCAAGGAACACAGGCAGGGAGAAGACAGCGCAAGGAACACGGGCAGGGGAAGGCAGCAAGTGGTTACCCTTGGGTGGCAGGGAGGACAGACAGGGAAGACTAACAACAATATAAAACGCTGGAAGATATTTGATAATAAAATTATCCCGCACAGTTTAATGTGTGTGTGTGTTTGCGGTGCAGCTTTGGAACGTCACCCCATGGTTACTTAACATTGCCATGTGTGTCGCCTCCTGCCACGACCTGGCAAACATAAACATGAAACTTGCAAACATTCAATGGAAAAACTGTTCTAAGTAATCAAGTAGAATGTGAAAAGTCTGAAAGCAACCTTATATATTAGTCACCTTATAGCAACACGTTGCTGTAAGGCGACTAATATAAGTTGCTTATAAAGCTGACTAATTTAGCTTAGCTAACAAGCTGACTAATTCCTGGGTACCTATTTCCTGCTAGGTGAACAGGGCCTTAGGTGATGGGAAACGTGCCCGACCATCCCGGCTTCTGATCAAGTTCATTCCATCCAGCGGTCAACCCTAAAGACGCATTCATAAATTTTAGCATTTTCTGTTCATTCAAAATAGGAATTTCTCAAATATAAATTAATATTGTTATATATATATATATATATATATATATATATATATATATATATATATATATATATTTCTGATCGGGGAGAAAAAACACAAGCCAGAATGGGGGGACCTTATTTATTAAATAATGTATACAGAGCAACTGCTGTACCACAAAATAAATGATGTCGTATAACATGACTGAGTAGAATGCCAGTACTGCAAAGATGCAACTAAACAAATAAGTCGTAGCACATTAACCGTGCCTAGTGCCAGTTAGCCGAAGCCATGTTGCAGTACTCGCAATCAGCTTAATGCTATAATTAAAGACAACACCAGAGTTATAAATTGAGTGGCACAGCCAGTACAGTATGTATATAAAATATATTCTGTATACACAGAAGGCATAGAAAAGATAGATAAGAATTTCCAGGGGTAATGATATGCTAGTGCCTAGGTTACATGTAAAGTCTGCAACCCCTAACTTGCACTACAAGTGTGCACTTGACATACTGTGCATAATTAGGCATTGATAAGGTTAGGTGTTTAGGTTCTGTTGGCGATTATTTGTATTTATAGTACGTGGGTGAAGCATTTACAGCGTTGTGGTTCGAAAAAAAAAGTCGTCAGCTAAGCACTTGTTCCGGAAGTGTTCAGAAGGGGCCTGACAGCCAAGTGGACAGCGGTTGGGATTCGTAGTCCTAAGGTTCCGGTTCGATCCCCGGTGGAGGCGGAAACAAATGGGCAGAGTTTCTTTCACCCTGATGCCCCAGTTCACCTAGCAGTAAATAGGTACCTGGGAGTTAGACAGCTGCTACGGGCTGCTTCCTGGGTGTGTGTAACAAAATGGAGGCCTGGTCGAGGACCGGGCCGCGGGGACGCCAAGTCTTGAAATCATCTTTAGATAACCTCAAGATAACGTCATCAGTTGTGAGTCGTGTGTAAACCGTTTTTCATTCATAAACAGGGGGTTTGGCGGGTGCATGGAATAGACTTTGGCTTTGATTATGATGACGTGCTGCATTTCTGTCTCTTCCGGGATTCAAACCTGGAATTCTGGATTGTACGTCGAGAACGAACCCCGACTACTACTGGGACCCTCCATATAATACAACGCACGTCAACTTGGCCTGAATCTAGACCTATACAGTATATATATTTTACAGTATTCCTAAGTTTGATGAACTTGGAAAAATTACCATTAATTTTAATGTATAGTAACAAGCTCGCCCCTCGGGGCAAAATTTAAAAATTTAAGCAACGCGCTTTATTCGGTCAGTGAAAGTTGTGTCTCCTACCCAAAAGATCTGACACTGCAGACTAGGCCTATCATCTCTACTAAGCGGAAGGTAGGCCTAGGCCCCCCCGGAGAGTCCTACTGCTTGGCCAACAACCCCCGACATCAATGATCCCGGAGTAAATATTAAGCGAGAAGATCTGTGAAGCAAATTCCAAACAGCGTCTTCGCGTGCTTGCGTTGAAGACGCTGGTGGGGCGGAGTCTGCCTTTGGTACCACTGCTGGCTCCTCAAGGCCAGGCCGCCACGCTACGCTCTCTGGTAACCGGACGCTACATGTAATTTATGATTTACTAACAGTTTTCTTCGAGATTTTCAGAATAGAAGTATATCTTTAAAGTCTAAAGTTTGCAGAAGATATATATATACAGAGAGAAAGCGGAGTAATAACTGGAAAGGTTATATAGACAGGAGGACAAGGTCGGTGAGGTTACCGGCCCCGCGCGCCTAGCTTCTTGCCGTTCATGTTCTAAGTTTCGGTGTTATTGACAGGAACATGAATAATTAAGCTTATTTCTTCTCGGGGGAACTCTTTGTCCACTGGCGAGGGAGCGACCTCTGTGTGTGTTCCACCACCACCACCCACCTGTGTGTTGTACCACCACCACCACCCACCTGTGTGTTGTACCACCACCACCACCACCCACCTGTGTGTTGTACCACCACCACCACCCACCTGTGTGTTGTACCACCACCACCACCCACCTGTGTGTTGTACCACCACCACCACCCACCTGTGTGTTGTACCACCACCTGTGTGTTCCACTGTAACAAGAGAGCCGTACAGAGCAGAACAGAACGTCTGAGCGCGGCGCCTATCACCTGGCTGTACGCAATAAAACTCTCACCTCAGTCAGGCCTTTACCAATGACCTGGTCAACTCGGGTCAACGGTGCAGCTCATCAAGTTATAATAATAATTGTGACGGGGGACAGGCAGCCAGAGTGTATATAATAATTTTATACACATTAGGCTTATATATCGAAGATATACCGAGCCAAGATTCTGAAGGGCGGCCACCAAGTGCCTCAAAAGCCCAGTATAGAGCACTGGAAAGTAAGCACAGCTCCCTTGTATCCAGCACCGTACACCATTCAAATCACTTTGCCTCTATTAGGTAACCAGAGTTAGGGATTATCCTTCTAAAGTGCTAAATGTACTGGATGGGGGGCGGTTATCTTGAGGTTATTTTGAGATGATTTCGGGGCTTTTTAGTGTCCCCGCGGCCCGGTCCTCGACCAGGCCTCCACCCCCAGGAAGCAGCCCGTGACAGCTGACTAACACCCAGGTACCTATTTAACTGCTAGGTAACAGGGGCATAGGGTGAAAGAAACTCTGCCCAATGTTTCTCGCCGGCGCCTGGGATCGAACCCAGGACCACAGGATCACAAATCCAGCGTGCTGTCCGCTCGGCCGACTGGCGGTGTGCAGGACAAACATATAAATTGTGACACTAGCTCTCCACATATGTCAGTTGCTTAATTTAGAACCTGTACTTGAGGTCGATCTCGAACCCATTGTTGATGTGACGACTTATATTGAATTTTGTAACTAGCTCATCAAGATTGTAACTTGCTTAGCTAAATGAATTGTGGCGTTCAGTCCCTGAGCCCATTATGTGCCTCTGTAACCCTTTCCACTACCGCCCACAAGATGGGTATGGGGTGCATAATAAATTAACTAAACTAAACCTTATGTATTAACCTACTGATGTGTCACTGGGCTTACCGTTCTCTTTGACCTCGTGACCTTGTGCCCTTATTTGCCAGATATCCCTTCCCTAAAGTCATCCTTACTAAGGTGATGTCAATGCTAGAGTGTACCACGGGAGACATCTCCCGTCACGCAGGGTGCAGTCGCACCTCCACAGTATCAGCTCTTGATACTGGTAATGGCTCAAAAGGGCCACCACTTACGGGCTATTGCACTGCTCCCGTTATTATGTATGGTAAACGTAAGTGGTTTAAAGATTATTGGAGTGCCAGGCCAGGAACCCTTGACCACTTATTCCTTGCCTACACCTGTCCTGGAAGGATATTAACATCTACGTGTCCTCGCGTCTTCCCCCGTGTTGTAATCCCGTTAAATGAGAAAGCCGATGCAACTGCTCAATTTGCAACTCGTCACCCAGTGATCCACAAAAGAATCCAACTCAGCCTTGAGTACAGTAAAAAAATCACCAAAAAACTTGCACACCTCAACAAAGCCCATCTACACCAGAGAGTAGCGGAAGGTTCCCCTCTGCAATATAGCATCTTCAGGCCACCAAGTTAGACAGGTTAAATATCCCGAAAGGAATCCACAGGAACATAGCAGTTCGGTTATATAGACTACGTCTAGGTTACAGATGCAACTGGGAAATTAGTGAACCCAGAGAGTGGGAATGGATCTTCTCCCAAACAATCACAGAAAGTCACTACTTCACTATCTCCTGGAATGTGAAGCAACCAACGACCTTAGAAGAGCTTCAAGTCTCTCTGACTCTTGCAGTAACCACCCTGAAGCCATTAACACTGCCACTCTTCTGGTCATAAAAAAGTGTCCGGCAGCTGCACACCCTCAAATACTGCCAAGCAGTATAGCGCTCGCGTGCGCTCTCTTGCACGCGCGCTCTCTTGTGTGCACCCTCTCTCTCTCTCTCTCTTGCGCACAAGAGAGCTCTTCCTTTCTCTCTCCCTCCTGTTAGAAGGAAGTTCAAAAACCATACTAGTTTTCACTGGAATACGACCCGTTAATTGGTTTTCAACCAGGTCCCAGTTCACTGCTGGGTAAACAGTGACAAACAGTTAAGCATTAGTGACCAGTCAATCCTCTCTGGCCGTTTTACATACACAGACTCCATACACAGTTTCAAGTGTAGATATGATAAGAGCCCAATAGGCTCAGGAACCTGTACATCTGTTGATTGACGGTTGAGAGGCGGGACCAAAGAGCCAGAGCTCAACCCCCGCAAGCACAATTAGGTGAGCACACACACACACACACACACACACACACACACACACACACACACACACACACACACACACACACACACACAAATATATGACAGAGTGCTGGGGAGACGGGACACCACGAGCGTAGCTCTCATCCTGTAACTACACTTAGGTAATTACACACACACACACGAAAACTTCTAGTGTGTTTGTGCAAAATTAAATTTCAGAGAACCGGACACAACAAGAATTTCTGAGAACAGGAGTCATTATATAGATGACAATTTTCTGACAGAAAAATGAGGGCATTAACAAAATTTTGTGAAAACTGCAGCATCAAGAATAAGAGGACATAGGTTCATACTAAGAAGACAAAGTGACCGAAAAAAAATCAGAAAGTTGACTTTTGCAAACAGTAGAAAACGGTTGAAACAAGTGAGAAGGCGATGGAGGCCAAAATCGTCAGTAGTTTTTCAAAACGTCGTAATGCAAAGAATACTGGGAAGACGGGACACCACGAGCGTAGCCCCCATTTTGTAACTATACATAAACTTCACGGAACGGAACCCACACAAGCTTCCTGCTCAAGTCCACGAGGCGGACAAACTCACTATAGAACTCTATCAGACTCACGGGAGCAATAACAGCATTACCAACATACAGGACTTGAATCAAGCGGTCGCTTGGTCAGCGTAGAGCCGACAGCTCTTGGATAAAACTAGATCGTGCCGGCGGTTCACTGGCGGGGATCTACTAACCACAATAACATAAAAAGATACAAATAGAATCAGCGAACATGGCATACATAACCCAATTCGAATAAAATCTTATGTATGTCGGGTATTAAAATTGAGCTTAGTGGGATATCGAGCCTGACAAGTGCGCGGTCACGGCCCATGACACGGGAGGCGCACACGGATCCCAACCGACCAGCCACGGATCCCAACCGACCAGCCACGGATCACAACCGACCAGCCACGGATCACAACCGACCAGCCACGGATCACAACCGACCAGCCACGGATCACAACCGACCAGCCACGGATCACAACCGACCAGCCACGGATCACAACCGACCAGCCACGGATCACAACCGACCAGCCACGGATCACAACCGACCAGCCACTCCAATTTTGATCATGCGCCCCTCTCCTGGAATGACTGCCCTCATCATTCATCAGAATTTTGGACAAAATGGAGAACAGAGCAAGAAGGTTCATTTCTAACCTTAACCAAGTCTGGAGGGATTGCATGGTCTGAACAACACATCCAACACCGTTGTGATTTTGGTGGATTTACTGCTTGTACAAACCCAACATTTTCAAAGTTACGCACTTGGCCCAACTTCGTGGACAACCAGTAGTTGGCTCAGGAGGCCTGACGGCTGAGTGGACAGTGCTCGGCATTCGTAGTCCAAAGGTTCGGGTTCGATCCCCGGCGGAGGCTGAAACAAGTAAGCAGAATATCTTTCACCCTGATGCCCCTGTTCACCTAGCAGTAAATAGGTACCTAGAAATAAGACAGCTGTTATGGGCTGCTTCCTAGGGATGTGTAACAAAGAGGACCGAAATCACCTCAAGGAAGACCGTGACACTAGGCTCTCACCCTTCAACAGTCTCATGCAGGAACTGACTTTCTCACTCCATTCCGAGGCTGACTGACTTCTGGAACTTGTTCACTCAACAGGTTGACACACGGGAGATCAGGTCAGGTGATCACATGAAGACTCTGGCACACAGTTGGCTACAAGTTCATCCTGTTCCCTATATGACTGTTACGCCATGAATATTTTATTCCTAATGATCTACAGGAATATGTATCATGTTGCATGTTACACCCCATACCCCCCAACCCTCTCTCTATCGACCCAACTACACAGTTGTCACGCACTTCGAGGTGGAGAGTGGGGAGGGGGGGAGGGAGAGAAAGAGGGAGAGAAAGAGAGAGAGAGAAAGAGAGAGAGAAAGAGAAAGAGAGAAAGAGAAAGAAAGAGAAAGAGAGAGAAAGAGAGAAAGAGAGAAAGAGAGACAAAAATATCGCCACTCTAAGCTTACATCACAATCACTGATGGCCATAACTTGTTACCGACTTCTATCACATGCTTCTTGATTAGTTCTGTCGCTTTAATTATTATTCAAAATATGTATTTGGACTATGCCACCGCCTTTGACCCAATAATATGTATGTTTGCAGATGATGCAACGTTAATGAGGAGAGCGAGACCTCGTGAGGACTGTAGGGCGTTGCAAGAAGAGTATGACAAACTTCAGGAGTGGGAAAAATAATGGCTACTGGAATTTAATCCAATTAAGTAATGGAAATGGGTTACATTTATTTAACCACTCCATAAGGGGAAAGCAATTACAAGAAACACACACAGAAGCAGTCCCGAAAGTAGACATAATCCCAACACTAACACCAGAAAGCTCAACACAATATAAATACACACACAGGCTTCCTGCCCCCAACGAAACAAACTCTCAAGTCAATGTAAGCAAAACACCTTACCAATCCACATGTCAGCCTTCAAATTGCAGACGGATAGTGTGTTCACCAATCACGAAGCAGCTAAGACCTCTGACGTCATACGCAAAGAGCCGTGGGTACCACTGAAGGGTAGACTGGGCAGTCAGTGTATAGCTCGCCTCCAGAGCAGGTGGACGTCTGGTGGGCTGGATATTGTGCTACCTCCCAGTAAACAACTTACAGAAGGAGCCCGAGTATATTCTCTACATACCCAAGCAAGAGTCTTCATATCTTCCACTAGCAAGAAGAGCCGATACACACATGACCCAAGTATGCCTATCTCTGTGGACCCACAATATATATTATTATTTAATATTAAAATAAATCGTTGGTTATTATACTGCACATTATGAATCCTTCATCCCGTCTCTAAGTTAACTATTATACAAGTCCAAAACAGTTCTATTCAAATTTTCAGGTCAGTATTCAACAGAGCTTAACGCTTATTCTGGAGGACAGGCTCACACAACCACTCACTGACACAAAACTCCTTTCCGGAAGACCGTGAACTTCAAGTACCAGGATGTCAAAGTACTATCTGCCAAGGTGGAATGCATAATAAAGACATGAAACAGACCAAAGTGGAAGGAAGCAATCTTGCAAACTAAAAAAATCACACTGACGGACTACTTACTTAATACAGCTACAGTTGTAGTCCTGTATTGCGCTACTGCTCACAGCATGAGTATGGGGTGCACAATAAACTAGCCGCCTCGGGCAGCAACAATCAAATCTATTAACAATCCAGATACCAGAGGCACAATCCAGTTACCAGAGGTAGAATAGAATGCTCACAGAAGCCTAGTCCTCGTGGCGAAGTGGTAAAACACTCTCCTTGCGTCTGGGAGTTTGTAACGTCAGCTGATGTAGATTTGACGAAATGTAAACTCTGTCAGCAGAACTATTCGCATACTTTGCGTCATTATATACTGGAATGTGAACAAATCGCAGAATTCAGAGATAACACCATCAATGGTGTCCAAGAAATGCTTAAGTATTTCATTCATAATGATGTGCTGCCCGAAATCTTAGCGAACTATCCCAAATTTGCTTACTATAGGGTAATGCATACACATGACTGTAAAGCTGCCGCCCAGTTGGGTGGGTGTGGAGCAAGACTGTGACTGTTGTGAGCCTCTTGTTGAATCACTTGTGATACAAAAGATTATTGATGTGTGTATTTGTGTAGGCGATTGAATATGAATGTGTATGTATATATGTGTACATGTATATATAACATTAATAATTGTGTAACTAGCGTCAAAAGATTATTTGCTTAGCTAAACGAACTAGAGGATTCAGTTCCTGAACCGATTATGTTGCTCTGTAACAATTTACACCACCGTTTTGTTGTTGTCTACTGGGAACTAAAAGTTCCAAGTAGCACGGGCTATGGTGAGCCCGTAGTGAACTTAACTGGCACAGGAACGGGGCTGAAACTTGTTTACACCACCGCCCATGGGATGAGTTAGGGTGCATAATAAAGAAATTGAATTGGCGTTTCGCGAGCTCTCTAGCCTGGGTTCGTATCCTAACCTGTTAGGATTTATTTTACGTCAATCCTTAACTGTAGCCTCTGTTCGCCCAGCAGTGAATGGGTACCCCCTTTTTTTTTTTCAGGGATATTTCTGCGCGGGCCCTAAGCCTCTGGCTGGCCCACTAAGTGTTGCTTGTTTCTGTTTTCCCTGAACGGAGTATGAGTATTTATGGCTCGTATGGTCGCTTCGGTAAGATTTTGTCTCATGTGTTTAACAACTTCTGCTCTGTTGAATCTTAGTTGAAATCTTAATGAATTTATAACTGCACTGTGTTAGATAAAGTTCCAGTGGTCTGTGGGGCATTTCTCCAGAGTGACCTGATTCTTAAACGATTCGGCGGGTCGTATTCCGGGAAAAATTAGGATCAAGGACTTCCCCGAAAGGCTATGCGTGCTAGTGGTTGTACAAGAATATAAGTACTCGCGTGTGTGTGTATGTGTGTGTGTGTGTGTGTGTGTGTGTGTGTGTGTGTGTGTGTGTGTGTGTGTGTGTGTGTACTCGTCTAGTTGTGCTTGCAGGGTTTGAACTCTCACTCTTTGGTCGTGTTTATATTATATTATATATATATATATATATATATATATATATATATATATATATATATATATATATATATATATATATATATATATATATATATATATATATATATAAACAAAAAAACGTGCACAGAAGCCAACGCAATCGTCACAGTCCCCATATCTGTGCCAGTCGTGATGCGCCACAGGATCTACACAAGGCAACACACAAATTACGTTTCACTTTTTGCCAGGATACGAGTGGCAGCAAAGGGCGCCTTTTCCTGTAGAGCTGCAAGGTCAGTTCTTGTGAAGGGTGGGGTGAGTTGCTCAGTCTCTCTCTATGCTTCCCTCCCGCCCCACTTGGGCAGGACGGTAGAGCGACTGTCTCGCTACATGCAGGTCGGCTTTCAATCCCCGACCGTCCAAGTGGTTTGGCACCATTCCTTCCTCCCGTCCCATCCCAAATTCTTATCCTGACCCCTTCCAAGTGCTAAAGAGTCATAATGGCTTGGCGCTTTTTCCCTCACTCAGCATACCTCAATCCATACAGTTGAGGCTGACTCCATACACAGTTTCAAATGTAGATATGATAGAGCCCAGTAGGCTCAGGAATCTGTACACCAGTTGAGTGACAGTTGAGAGGCGGGACCAAAGAGCCAGAGTTCAACTCCCGCAAGCACAACTAGGCGAGTACAGTCTCCAAGAGGGTCAAGTACTGCTTCATCTCGTGATGCTTCTCCTTCCAGGAAAATTTCTCCTCTTGTCAACTCCCTTAAACCTCCTACAATTATCCGTTGAGGCCCGCAAGGCTTTGGCTTCACTACCCGAGTCATTAGGGTCTACTTTGAGGGACTCTTGACTATTATACTCTGCATCACTTAGTAATGGATGTTGACCAACGTAGTCCAGCGCTTGCAGCAGGTCTGCGCCCCGGAGACTTGATTACTCACAATTAACGGGGAGCCGACCCGGAGCATGTTCTCCACACTTAGGCTGTCACGCTGCTGATGAGTTCTACACATCATGTCTCTCTAAGATCAATGCCACTCGACCAGACTTTTATTAGGGCAGGTGAGACCAGCATTACCTAGTGTTGCTTCTGAGGGGGCACAGTCTTGTTCAGCAACTTCATTAGTAGGCTGTTTGGTCGCGCTGCGGGTTGCTCACGCTGTGGGTACGTCACGCTGCGGGTACGTCACTGATGTAGGCATTACAACCCAGTTGATTAGTAAATTCCTGGATGAAATTTCTAGACTACATTTTACTAAATTATAATCTAACCTATGCTATTCTAATGCATATACAAAGGCATTTTAACATGCTATAATTTGTTATTGGACAGCTTGTCAAGGTTATCTGAATAGAATCTTGGTACTGTGTACATTTGGATAAATTAAGTAAACACGATACCTCTTGGAAAAAATAATAACGAAAAGTTAAAGGTTACGTTTTTCCCTTCTGATGATAATTTGGTTACACTTGCAGTGGTGTAAATGACAACATCTGTGGTCAAAACCCAACAAAAATAACAGGTTCCTGTAAATGACAACATCTGTGGTACAAAATTAACAAAAACCACTTGCTTGAACATAAGAACAAAGGTAACTGCAGAAGGCCTATTGGCCCATACAAGGCAGCTCCTATCTATAATCACCCAATCCCAATCATAAACATGTCCAACCCACGCTTGAAACAATCGAGGGACCCCACCTCCACCACGTTACGCGGCAACTGGTTCCACAAATCAACAACCCTGTTGTCGAACCAGTATTTACCCAAGTTTTTCCTAAATCTAAACTTATCCAATTTATACCCATTGTTTCGCGCTGTCTTGTGTTGATACTTTTAATACCCTATTAATATCCCCCTTTGTTATGTCCATTCATCCACTTGTAAACCTCTATCATGTCACCCCTAACTCTTCGCCTTTCCAGTGAATGCAAGTTAAGCTTTGTTAATCTTTCTTCATATGAAAGATTTCTAATTTGGGGAATTAACTTAGTCATCCTACGCTGGACACGTTCAAGTGAATTTATATCCATTCTATAGTATGGCGACCAAAACTGAACTGCATAATCTAAATGGGGCCTAACCAGAGCAAGATATAGCTGAAGAACAACACCAGGTGTCTTGTTAGTAACGCTTCGATTAATAAATCCCAGTGTCCTATTTGCCTCATTACGAACATTCAGGCATTGATCCTTTTGTTTTAAATTCTTACTAATCATAACTCTCAGATCCCTTTCGCAATCTCAACACCATTAAGCTCGTATCTTGTAACTCTATTATCATTACCTAGCCTCAGAACTTTACATTTATCAGCAGCTGCTTGCCAGGTGTTCACGTTGTGTTTTCTCCGGCTCAATAATGCCCTCCAGATAAAAACGGCTTTTACGTGTATATTTATTTTTACATGTAATATTTGTTTAAGTTGTCGTTTTCTTCCTCATGTTAATTACCTTCCTTATCTGCATTTTACCATATGCCTGCCTAGTATAGAACATCATTTTCACTATTATTTCCTATTGCAAACAAATTACAATGCACGACGTGCGTTATGAAATAATGTGTACACATTTTATTTATATACCCAGGAGGGCTTTCACTATCAAATTTTTATCTACAGTCCCTCCTTTTTCTAAGCCTTTCCTATTCCCACGTTCTCTCTATAAGAATTATGGAATACCACAAGAAGCCTGTTGGCCCATACTAGGCAGGTCCCACCGCATACCTAACCCCCAACCCCCTCTCTCACATGTACCTATCCAATCTATTCTTGAAACCTGTTAAACTGATCGTCTAAGTAATAGACGAACTATAATAGATGGCATCCCATTCCACTCATCTTCAACAGTTTCCAAACTATTATTGCGTGTTCTAGCCTGACCTGACAGTTTCAGAACACGATTTATATCCCTCGTTGTTTGATCCTTCAGCTCACTTTAACACCTCTTCCATGTCCCCCTCGTCCTGCGTGTCTAGCCAGTGTGTTCTTATCAGCCTTGTCCTCCTCTGTATTGTCTCTTGTCTGTGACACCCAGAGGTGCCCATCGTAGGCCAAATGTGGCCACACAAGTGCTGGGTATACCTGAAGGGTGATGTTCGTGCTTCTGTTCCTCATGCTTATTATAAATCGTTGAATTGTATTTACTTTATCTCGTAAACTGGTGTAATGTAGTCTGTGCCTGAGGCTGTTGCTAGCAATGACTCCCAAGTCTCTCATTTTGGTCTCCCCATGACTGTATAACTAATGTTACACAGCATTAATGTCTTTCCCCCAGGTTAAGGACACAATTTCTCTAAGTTAAACTGCATTTGCCATTTCTTTTCCCAGCGCTGGAGTTTGTGTAAATCTCCCTACAGTTCACCAGTGTTCTTTTGCATTCACTACATGACTACACTGCATCGTCCACAAACTTAATATTATTGATCACTACAGCATCAAGGTCGTTGGTGTTAATTATGAAAACAGTGGGCCCAGTACGGAGCCCTGCGGCACACCACTAGTGGCTATCTACTCTGACTTGACTCCATTTATGCTGACCCTCTGTTTTCTGTTTTTCTGCCATGATCCGATTCAGTTTTAGTGTGTTTCATCTGACGCCAAACTCTTCAACCTTCTAATGCTGAACTGTGTGGAAGGCCTGATTGAGGTCCAGACATACATCATATTTACTATATTTTTCAAGAACAGGAACAGACGACTTCTGACTTCTGTTAGCAACGGGAAGCTTTCCCTTCCCGTTGCTCATGGTAAGTCTTACCCACTACTTTCCCCCGGAACACGACCCGTTACTCGGTGAACAACCAGGACCAGGATTCAACAAGCATTTAGGCGTCTACTTACGAACCTGTACATCTTTTCTCAATCTTTGGTGGCCTCGTTTACAATTATTAAACAGTTTATGAGCAAAGCAGCAGGAGACTGTTTATAACAATAACATCATTTGATTGGAAAGTTTCGATGCACATAAATTTTTAATAAATGTAAACAAAGCCGCCAAAGATTGAACAATTATGTACATGTTCGTAAGTAGATGCCTAAATTATTGTTTAATCGTGGCCCAGGTACCAACTTACTGCTTGGTGAAAAGATGCGAACAGTTAAAGATTGGCGCCTAGTCAATCCTCCCTGATCAGGACTCGAACCCAGATAAATGGTTAGCTGGGAGCGTGTGTGTGTGTGTGTTACCACTGTGCCATTTGGAGACTCCTCTTTAACCCACTCATAAAGAGGCGATATCATCTCTTGTTCACCTGGTCTTCCCCCAATTATTCCCTCATTCCAGAACATGTTATAAGCATATTTTATTCACCCACTGTAAGTGTTATTCTTAAAATGTTCACTCCGCCTGTTGGTAACATCATACATACCTGTCTCCACGTCCCCCCAATCCCAACCCTACCCCCTCCAATCTCCCCCCCCCCCTGTCATTACTTACTCTCTCCCACCACGAATAAAAAATCTCTATGTAAAATAACTTCGTATGTCTTACAACGTCCTCCCACTACTTTTGTCTCGTTTGTAACCACAAAAAAGTCCTTTTATAATGATATTTAGATTCCATCGTTTTCCTCCGCCTCTCCTCACTTCTCCCACAATATTGACATTATTGGGATGATGGCTGGTGTGCTATTTTCTAATACAAATAATAAAGTTGACATTTGTTTACATTCAAGTTGCCGCTTGACGTGAAGGTTGAGGTGAGCAGCGGTGAGAGACCGTCAATTCGGGTGAGAGAATGGCGATCTCTCGGCTAGACTTATACTCTGTGGCTGCAGCGCTGCGCAGTGCAATCCTGTGCATTGGGCATTGGTATATCACCCTTATCTAACGACACAAGTACCTTACATGCGGTGTCTATGGATTGATGATCACATGGGCAGTTCAGATATCGTGCGTGCGGTGACATACGATGTCTGGTTATACTTGCAGATGGCAGTTTATATATGGCGCCTGTGTAATCATAGGTGCGTGTCTCCACCCTAACTTTAGTCGTCAAGTGTGGCAGGTATTGAGAAAGAGTTATGGCTCACCTGACCTCCGCCAACGGTTCTGATAACCCTTCTTCCCACTCCCAGTAGTGTCAGAGAAGCCCATATTTCACCCAATCAGATGTGAGTGTATGGTTTAAGTTGCATTCTGATTAACGCTCTACGTGAAGGTTTCCAACTTAAGTGATAGGTACGAGTTCAGTCATCTCACTTTAAGCTCCATTTCGTCATTCTTGGCGAGGCGACCCCGGGGTCAAGATGTGAATTCCTCCGCAGCTCTCTGGTTCCGTCACTCCCTATGCCACAGTAGAGTTACTGAGGCTAAACATCTCCCGCGCGTCGGTCGAGAAGCAGCAGCGATGATGTGTGCACCACTTGCAGATAAGAAACACGTGAGAATGTGAGTGGTCTCAAGAGTAAGTAAACTGTAATTATTTGCATATAAAACTCACATTTTAAGTCCTCGTGGCGCAGTGATAAACGGTTTGGCATGGGTTCGTATCCTGGCCGTGGAGGATTTACTTGACCCCAATCCTTAACTGTAGTCTCTGTTCACCCAGCAGTGAATGGGTGCCTGGTTGTCACCCGGCAAAACTATTTGCCGGGTCGTATTCCGGGGAAAATTAGGATTAATGACTTGTCGGAAACGCTATGCGTACTAGTGGCTGTACAAGAATGTAAGAACTCAAATATATATCACAAAATAAATAAAAAATTAAATTTCGTGGTACTAAGTGCAACCCAGTGAGCTTGGTGGATGTCCTTGACTCTGGCATGACCATTCGGAGCAATTATGATATCGCATAGAGTGCCGGTTCTCTTCCATGCGTGTGTGTGTGTGTGTGTGTGCGTGCGCGCGTGTGCGTGTGCGTGTGTGTGTGTGTGTGTGTGAATGTATCTACAACTCATGATTGTTTTATGTGCATGCAATTGTTTCTCTGGGTACAGAACGTCAACCCGGGTCCCTCTAGGAGAGACTGTTCTCTCTCTCTCTCTGGGTACAAGACGTCAACCCACGTCAACCCGGGTCCCTCTAGGAGAGACTGTTCTCTCTCTCTCTGGGTACAAGACGTCAACCCGGGTCCCTCCTGGAGATACTATTGTCACATATTCTGCAAGAAATTTTCGCTCAATCATCAAATAGCGTCCAACTATACGACCGAAAATATTCTAGATTTGATTTTCACAAACAATGAAGAAATAATCAGGACCATTACAATCTCAGATATCACATACTCAGATCACACACTCACTGAAGTGCCAACATCAAAACTCGTAACAGGTCTAAATAAAAACGATAAAACGAGAGGTTATTCAATAAATTTAATTTTAATAATAAAAGGATAGATTAGGAAAAAATATACATGAACTTTTCAACATTCAATGGGAAACTATTCTAAGTACAGTAATTAAAATCTCGTGCAAGGACTAGAACAGCTGACTCCCGAAGCATATAAAATCTTGAGATATGTTCCTTTATGGAAAGCCACAGAGGAGATACGCCTATGCCTACGGAGAAGCGGGATACACCTCTCTGTGTACTGTATATATTCCTGTGTCAATGTGATTTTTACCCCAAGCTACTCTGTCCGTAGAGGTACATTAACAGAGGCGCTGAAGAAAACGGTGTGACGAGATGCCAGCCACATCGAGGACTGTCTGTATAGCTCGAATAAGAAATGTGGATATTGTGAGATACTGGCGTACTGCAGACGTGGGGGTTATAGCTCAGTGGAACAGACTGGACCATGACAGCACAGCGGTCGTGTAGAGTAGCCCTGAGGATGTTGGAGGCGGGTAGCAAGGCGGCGGCGAGCGTGAGCGACCAGTTGTGGGGGCAGTATTTACCGAGAAGGCAAAGATGGCGGCGAATGAGGGTGGAGTACTTACCAAGACATCCAGACTACACATCTGCATAAAAATAAAGGAATTGGCGACGTTTCAATCAGTCCTGGACCATCATGATGGTCCAGGACGGACCGAAAAGCCGTCACTAACTTTTATTTTCAGACGTGTGGGCGGGGCGTCTAAATTTTCAGCAACCTTATTAATTGTGACATGTTCCGGAGTACTTACCAGGTTCAGCGTGCCGATGATCTTGGTGCCGACCTGCAGACAGACAAGCCAGGTTACTCACTACACTGATTTAATATGTACATTTACACAACATTCACGTAAACACATTTAACGAGAACTGAAGAATTTTTTTTTTATTAACATAAGAAATTGTAGAAGGCTTATTGGCCTTCTACAGCTCGAACGAGGCAGCCCCAAGTTAAATCCATTCACTTGTATTAACATATAAATATTTGGCACATCTGCATTTATGCAGCTACACTAGACTTTATGAAGGATTATAAGGTGTGTGTCAAGAGCTAGTTATGTGATAACAAATCCCCATCACACAGGATGGTTATTAATACAGGAGTATGTGATCAGTACCATTCACTGGCAAACTTTGGATGCATTATGAAGATACCCTCAAGAACACAAGATTTAATAATGTGAATGCAAAGTTCCAGGTACCTCATACCGGCAGGTCTGAAGGGTCTAATGATTGAACATTCAATGTAGCGTGAGAGGCACTGACCCAGTTCCTGGTCACAGTTTACACGTGGAGTGTTCAGGACTGTCATCTGTAGCCACTTGCCACGAGTAAAGGTTACTGATTAGTGCTGGGGTCACAGGTTCGCGCCACCTCTCAGCCCTGGTGGATTGTCTCATTGATCTCATATCATGATCTCATATCTCGTTAGGGTGATTTCTGTGTTTTTAAAGGTACCGATTGTCGCAGCCGGAGGCGGCGAGGTTATTGTGCACCCCATACTCATTCTGTGAGTGGTAGTTTATTGTGCACCCCATACTCATCCTGTGAGTGGTAGTTTATTGTGCACCTCATACTCATCCTATGAGTGGTAGTTTATTGTGCACCCCATACTCATCCCGTGAGCGGTAGTTTGTGCACCCCATACTCATCCCGTGAGCGGTAGCTTATTGTGCACCCCATACTCATCCCGTGAGCGGTAGTTTATTGTGCACCCCATACTCATCCCGTGAGCGGTAGTTTATTGTGCACCCCATACTCATCCCGTGAGCGGTAGTTTATTGTGCACCCCATACTCATCCCGTGAGCGGTAGTTTATTGTGCACCCCATACTCATCCCGTGAGCGGTAGTTTATTGTGCACCCCATACTCATCCCGTGAGCGGTAGTTTATTGTGCACCCCATACTCATCCCGTGAGCGGTAGTTTATTGTGCACCCCATACTCATCCCGTGAGCGGTAGTTTATTGTGCACCCCATACTCATCCCGTGAGCGGCAGCTTAAACAATTTTTACAAAGAGCATCTGAGCCCCAGGGTGTGAGCCATACCCCAGGGTGAGAGCCATACCCCAGGGTGAGAGCCATACCCCCAGGGTGTGAGCCATAATATATACGACTAATCGAGCTGTTCGTTAACGTTGCATTACTAATAATTTTCAACTATTCAATGTTTGCTTCCAGCGTTCCTCAACATTCCTTCACTGGTCGGCGGACCTATGCCCACAATTCTTGGAAGCTGAAGGACTGTGGCAGAGTCCGCCACTCCCCCTCAGGAGATGTCCGTCTATATAACGCACCCAGCTTATAAAAAGGTACCTCAAATGATTACCTTTTTTTCACATAACTACCCCACTTAGTAGGCGTATTCTTAAATATTAAAAAACAAAGGTGGATCAATTCTTAAACTATATAATTCGGTTACACAAGCCTCATTCAAAACACGGGTAAAGAAGCAGTTTGTGGCAGAGCCCTGAGGTCAAAATGAACTTTAGTCCGTGTTGATACACCTTCACGCAGTCTCCGGGGAACGCTGCTACTTACCTTAAGGTCAAAACAGCAGCAGCCACTGAGGAGAGGCATCGTTACTGTCTAATGTTCCAAATAAACAATTCGAGAAGATGAGCGCGTCACTCCCTCACTGCGCAACTGCCTGTCTCCGACTGCCGCTTTCAGCCAATGGCGGTTTTGCCCAGGTGGGTGGTTGGTGGTTGAGGGTTGGGGGGGACGGGTCTCTGGGGGTGGATGACCTGGGTGGGTGGGGGGAGTCTGGGATGGGTGTTGGTGGGGATAGGTGGTGGGGGTAGCGGGATAGGCATTGGGTAAGACAAGCTTGGCGTGGAAGTACAAACCTAGTTGTACTTAGGCAACATGAGCTACGGCTCTTTGGTACCGCATTTCAACACTTAGTCAACTGGTGTATCGGTTCCCAAGCCTATTTGGGCTCTGTCATATCTATATTTATAATTAATTAGTTTTCGCGCGGACAGGAAGCCTGTGGAAGCCTGTGTTTGCCCGCAACTAGGCATAGTATGTACTGGCTCTAGCTAGAAATCCAAAATTCTCAAATTCTCTTTGTAACTCATTTTGAATGTCTGTACTTTTACTTGAATAATCATTATCATTATATATCTCAAAATATATATATAGACTTGCATGGAGCTCCGCCCAAAGTCGAACTTTTGACCTTCATCCAGGATGCAACTCCACAACAATTGCCTAAAATTACCGGGTATCTATTTACTGCTTGGTGAACAGAGGCGTTAGGTGAAAGAAAACGTGCCCAACCATTTCTGTCCCGCCCGGGATTCGAGCCCGGGATCCCCGACTGCGAGTCGAGAACCAAGCCTATTGTATGAAGTATCTCCCCCACTTTACTTTTAAGCATATTCCATTCTTCATTCTGACATTGAAACAAATCTTTCTAATTTCTCTGCGACTCATTTGGTTACTTAGTTCCATCTGAGTTATCTTGTTCGTGTACCACACATGTTAAATATTGTCTTGTCTCTTACCCTGAAAACTTTGCATGTGGTAATTATGTCTTTCTGTTTCTCCTCACTAACAGTGACGTGATGTTTTATTCCTTTAGTCTTTCCTTGTAACTCATACCTCTCAGCTATGGGATTAGTCTGGTCTCTCTGTACGGGTGGTCGGCAAGTGATATGTACTGAAGGAAGAGATTGTTGAAGCCAATTCCATCTACAGCTTTATGAAAAATGTTATGATGTTAATGTGTAGAAAGGTAATTAGCGTGCGTGGTATAAACGGTCAGGAGGCGGGCATAAAGAGCTAGATCTCACTTCCCGGTAATCACTGATAGGAAGCACATATAAGTACCTCTGAGCTTTCTGAAGTTGCCTTTTATTTTTTATTAACTCGTTTAGGTACATCTGCATTTGTGCAGCTAACCTAGACTATATGAAGGGGAAGTACAGTGTGTCAAGAACTAGCTACATAATGTTATACTTGTGAAATGAAGTAATATCTTGGCATTTACAGCTCGGTGAAGAGGCTATTCCATGGATTTATAACCCCCATCGATGAAAAAGCATCTCCTGTTTTGTCATACAGTGTGGCCTGTTGAGCTTGAAGCTGTTGCCCCTTGTATATGTTACATCTGACCTTTGAAAGAAGTCGTTTGTATTAATATTCTCCAACTTCTTCAGTATTTTAAAGGTCTCAATGAGATCGACCCCTATCATGTCTGGTTTGCATTGTTATTAGTCCTGTGGTCTACACCCGTTCCACGAGACTTGACTTTGTTCTGTGATCATTTTTGTCGATCATTGTTTGTTACTTTCTTCATAGCAAATGTGTCCTTTTGAAAAAAAGGTCTCCATGCTTTGAAATATATATATAGTATTGCAGATTGGGGTGCACCAGGGACTTGTAAAGTTGAATATTCACTTTCTTTATCTTGAAGTCAAAAGTTCGTTTGACTTTCTAAGGTCTGGTTGGCCAATAAAAATAAATGAGGACTTTATCTGATCTTTCCGTATGTAAAGTAATTTAGTTTTTTTTTCATGGATGCCCTTTCAATGTTGGTGTAGCTTTTACCACTGGTCGATGTTAGGGGTAGCTCTTGTGAGGCCGATTGTCCAGTAGACATGTGTTATTTGTGCTCTCTAGACTAGGCTACCTAATGTTAGAGTTATTATGGCAAAAGTGGCATGTGTAATGACTTTGCCTCAGGCCCTGTGCGAAATGTGGCAAGTCAGAAATCAACAGGCTGAGGGAGCAAGGCACACCTTATGGCGTATCAAGATTTAGAAAGGAATATGCGACTGGAAGATATTCAACAGAGGCCTGATGTTATTTACCAAGAGAGCTGGAAAAGTGGGACACAAAAGAGGAACTATACACACGACGATGGATAGCAAATTAACCACCAAGAAGACATTATTAGTGACAGCGACATGGTTAGGACATCAAACACCTCCATTTTGGAGGAGATGAATTTGTACAGGGACGCTGATGGCAGGAAAGCTGAACGTCGCAACAATGAAAATAGGTAAATACTAGTTGTTGGTGATTGACAGGAGTCATGTGGGTATGACTGTCTGCCCTAGGGATTTAAGAAATAGAATTAGGGTATGTTTTCCAGGAGCTAGGGTGGATATCAAGCCCATTGCCTCAAGAGATAGAAATAATATATGCCAAAATAGAAGTGAGGAGGTTTTAAACAAATATAAAGTAGCAACAGATATGACTAGGGATGAGGATTGGGCCCTAGTGTTTTTCGTGTACGGTATTTTTTTTGTGTGTACGGTGTTTTTCCTAGGTAGGGAGTAGGCAATGAATGAATGTTGAGTAATTATTATAAAGATTTGTTAATACACCTTTCTTGCTTTAAAATATTTATTGGTCCCTTTTAAAATAATTCAAGTTTTACTCACGTTTTTGTCGTTCACAATATGTATTGTATACTTTTCTAGAATTTTTTTTTCATAGTTATCCACATGCATTGGAAAAATAGTTACCTCTCCTTACTGTATGTGGTTGGATGGCTGTACTATGCTTTCAATTGGCACAATACAACACCAACCTGGCAAGCATTTCAAACCTGTAATTTAATACTTTAACTCTATTCATCCTTAGAAAGTTTGGAGTAGCATTATTTGTGAAATTTTCAATGGCAATTTTATGGTTTTATATGTACAGTACTGTAATTATTTTTGTACCTCGTATCCTCTAATAATATTGCATATGACCAAAGTCCTCTGATCACTTGGTTTGCATGTCTTTTTTGTTTATTATTCAGTTTCAGTATGAATTGCTTATTTGTCACAAACTTCAAGTTGCCATGATCGTATCCAATTTAAATGTCTTGCTGCTTCAGATTATATAGTTTTTCAACTTTTATTCAACATTGATGTATTTAAGCAAAATATTTTTTTTCTTAGTTCTGTAGCTGTATTTTTTTTATTGTGTTCAGGGGGTTACGAGTCAGTACAATGTTATTCCTAGTATTATCCAAAACTAGTCACTATAATTGTTTGGCATTTTTAATTCATTTTTTTCAGTTGACAACATACCGACTTCATTGAATTTTATTTTTTTCATTGAAGTATTACTAAAAGTAGGGGTAAATGGATTATGCACACAAGGTTCTGCATTATGGCCATGGAACTCAGACTATTAAGGAAGCTCTCCAATTTTAACTGCAGTCCACTGACATAAACGTTTGCCATGGCAGATTTAAATATTTGACATGCTCCATGCTGCAGACACAACCATCCAATACGTGGGTGACCAGATGGACAGATGTAAATAGTCATTCAGTCTTGCTTGCAGCAGTCTCTGTCTCCAATAAACATAGTTTGAAAATGCACTATCAGAGCTTGCAGGCTGGGGTAAAAGCGCTTGAATCCTACTATCACAATATGGTTGCCAAGAGTCTACCAAAGTCACTCAGATTTTTTAGCTCTAAGTCAAACACAAATCTTGGTTTAACAAGCTTTTGTCTCGACTTAATTGTTACTCTTAGGTAAGGAGAATTATAACCCAAGCCTTTGGCCAGGTAATGTACCAAGATAAGTCATCATTGAGACAAGGTATAATTCAGTAAACGGCATCGTATTGAAAACCCTTCCTGGTCAAGATTGTAATTATAAATAAAAGTGCTAGTATGGTCATATGCTATACCACAAGTAAAGGTAGGACATGAGAATTAAAACTATTTCATGGTGCATACCAGCATGAATCTGGTGAAAACAGCAACTACAATAGGATCCATATTTTGCATGAGAATTCATCCCTGAGGAAATATAAAAAACCATGAAAAAGTGTGCATTCTGGGAAAATAAAATTTGTTACTTATAAATAACTTTTATTGACAAACTAGACTACTTTAAAAAATCTAAAATAAAATCAATGAAGTGTATGGAATATAAAGGCAAAAAAAAAAGTATCCAACCTAAAACACAGGCTAAATGACCACAGAAGCACAACTTCCACCTTGTTTACAAATTCCATCAAACTCTCTTGGTATTATATAAATTTATATTTAAATGCTTATACAAAGCTCAAGAGTATTATTGAATGTACATTAATAAATTTGCAAATCTAAACATCTTAACCATGTAGAATTAAATATAGTGTACTTTACCTTGTAGTTAGCATTGGATTATATAGAACTGGGATCCAACTATATATTTTACACACACAATGGGAGGCGGGGTAATTAAAGACATCAACGTTTACTAGCAGTTATGCAATCTCTTGCTAGAGACAAACTAGCTGTACTGCCACAAGTTGGTGAATTCAGCAACTCAGATACCACAGAGGATTAAATAATTAAAAACTTTTCCTAAAAGGATACATTTATTGAGGAACATAAATGTCTGTGTATACATGATAACCATGGTTTATGTGCCTATAATAAAAATGCCAAATATCACCTACTACATGAATGCTGAAGCCTTAAGGTACCAAGTGTACAAAAGCTAGGGTACAAACATGGTATCACACACTCTGAAGGGTCTAGCAAGACTTCTAGGGCAATATCTAGCCAAACATTAGCAATTGTAGCACAAATCTTTACAATTTGGACTAAGCACAAGGCTACAAACTTCATTGTATGAATGGATTATTTCTATTTAGCACTTCTTACAAAATTGGTGTTTGGTCATCACAGCACATTTGACCGAAAATACTGTGCAACTTCCTTTAGTATAAAACTTTAGAAATACCATGTATATTTGCTTTCTTAGCACACTCAAGCTTTTCTGCCAAAGTCCTTGTGCCTTATTATAATTTTGATTGTGCGGCACTGTGGTCCCTATTGACTATTTTGGTGCCATGACTGTCTTTGGATCCTTAAAGATTTTCAAAATTTCCAAGTCTGGGTTATCTAGGGTTCTTGTGTCATGGATATCAGTCACGCTTTAAAACCATTGCATCACTCATCTTACCGACTCTTGGTAACCAACAATTTCAAACTCTTGAAGGTTTTTAGATTACTTTTGTATATAATACATTAGAATAAGTTACTGATAACAATCGGGTAAATTACAGCAAGGCAGTGTTTCTGGGCAAAAACCCAAGATACACCACTGACTTGGTTAATGAGCATTCCTATCACAAAAAGCAGTGGGAATTTTTCCCTCTGGTATCAAAGAGAACCTATAAAATGAGTATTTCCATATTACAAAATAACTTCCACATGTAAAAACTATCATAATGTTCTAGATGCCATATTAAAAGCTAGTAATGTACAAACTAATATTACAAAAGTGATTAAAAAAAATGAGAGTTAAGAAATTGAATTGTCATGGTAGCAGAAGGTACAAACTCGAGTCCCATGAATAATACTGCTCTTAAACTCATTTAACTAAAGTCGTATGGAATAAACCTATAAGCTATGCAAGCCACACAGATATGACTACCAGTCCCAACCTTCAATATTCTTGTTAAAACTCTGAATATAAATCTTGTCATTACCTTCAGGAAAATGAGCAGTTGGGTTATCAACTACAGTACACATAATGAGACCAAACAATACTACAATGAGAACTGGTACCAATTCAAACGGCAAGGTAAAGGGAAACATGAAATGTGGGACTAAACTGATCTAAAACATGAAAGCCCAACAATTACAAAGACTTTAATGTACAAGTCCAACTGGAAACCACCAGCTTGGACTACCCCTACCCAAACCCCCCCCTCCCCCTCCAATATTTCATGTCCTTACTGTTTGAACTCTCCCGTAAACAATGAAGGTAAGAACGAGCTTATTTCTGATAGTGGCCAACGAAACTTTAACGACTAAGTCGGCACGGGGAGGTGCTTGTGTTCCACGCTAACAAGAAGATATCTATACAAAGTGTATCAAGCAAAAAAAAAAAAAAGCCTTCAAACAACATTTATCACATATATTACAAATAGATTTGGTTCTTGACTGCTTTCAACAACTTTGAATAATCAATCTTTTTACTTCTTCTCTTCCTCTTTTTCCTTCTCTTCCGTCTTCTTATTATCTTCCTTCTCTCCTTCCTTCTCATCTTTCTGGGATTTTTCCTTTTCAGTGTCATCCTTATCTTTCTCATCCTTCTTCTCCTCTTCCTTGGACTTTTCATCTTTCTTTTCTGCTGCTGGTTCCTCAACCTTTTCCTCTGGAGGTGGCTTTGGTATATGAGAATTAAGATCCAAGTTTGTGCACATTTCTTCCCAGTCAGGGAATGCTCGGTCCTTGACACGATTGCAGAATTCTACTAAATTGGCACAATTTTCCGTCATCCAGTCACGAAGGGAGTAACTTACCTCCTTGTCCATAAATGCTACTTGTGCAAGATTGGCAAAGGCAACCACATCCAGCTGAAATATTAAACAAATGTTAGTAATAGTAGAACTAGATTATTCCTTGACAAAAATGAAGTGGCTACTCTTAACTAAAAAAAAGTTTAACCAGGCAAATTTTCTTTCCATGGGGTCCCTCGCACCATCTGAACTGGGCTCCCTCTCACCTTTCCTAAACTGGCAAGGTTATCTTGAGGTTATCTTGAGATGATTTCGAGGCTTTTTAGTGGGTTGCAGGTTGTCACTTTATGCACTAGTTGTTGGAATGAGGCATTTATTATTTATTGAATTCATAGGCTTTAAAGATGCAGATGAACAATCATGGGCAAGACATGCAAACATCCTTAGCCCTATTTAATTTTGCCCGTGTCTGGTTATCAGCTTTTCCTACCCAAAAACATACAGCACACAAGATACATTTGGTTGGGTATCTTGTCCAATTTGCTTTCCACACCAACAGTAAGCTCAAAACATTTGTTAACTGCATCACTGATTATTTCTAAACAAGTTCAACATCTCTTCATAGCATTCAAGGTGCCTAACTTTACATTTACCAGGATCTTGGTGACAAACTTGGCACACACAGAAGACGTGTAACATCTTCACTTGCCCTATCACCGTGGCTGGAAAGCTCATGTGGCTCCAAGATCAACCAACTACTGAGGTCAACTGCAGGAACCTCTGGCCCAAAACTCATATGGTGAGTTCTAGTGATGGAAGAGGGTGGCAGCACAGAACAAAACCTTGAAAAGCTCAAAGAAGCGACAGCGAAGAATCACCCTCGGCTTAAACTAGTGACAAGCAAATACATAAATTAGCCCAAAACTACTATGAACACAAACTTCACCTAACACCTAACATCATCCCCCACACTGCACCATTGCTCACAGAAATCCAAGTCTTTAAGCACTTGCCCAGTTAGGCCAAACTCGAATTAAATTTTTGAAGTGTTTCTCTTCTGCACAGTAGACCTATTGGGTTGATCCCATTAGGTCAGTGGGACCAACACAAGCTCTCCAGCCATGATGAGTATGATTGGGGAGGGAAGGGGGAAAGGCCAAGCAAAAATAGTACTTGGCCTGGTGTGTCAAGCGTGTCACACAAAAACTAGCATTTTGCACTGGTGTCCTATACATTCTGGTGTGATAAGTTAAGGGAAGCTACTTAAGAGGTGTTAATCCAGAAAATAACATTAAAATATTTGGTACAATTTACATACAAGATTTATCAGAAATAAAATTTAATCATTTTCTGCTGGATATCTCTCAAATTTCTGATTTAACCCTTAAAGTGTAATCATCGCCACGTGTCCGTTGTCTAATGCAACGTGATCATTAAATGACTACATTTTGTGTCAATGTTTTATTATCAACGTTGCCCATATGGTTCACCTTATGGTTTCCCATAGTCAGGGACAGGAACCGTTGGGCTTATCAAGGTCCCTATATGCCATCTATTGATGGCCTTCCCAGGATGCAACCCACAAACACTTGCCTAACTCCCAGGTACTTATATGCTGCTAGGTGGAGGGGGTAAAAAAAAAATATAAGGGGACACAACATATAATGAAACTTGCCAAATTTTGTGTTTTGGTGGCTGTGGGAGGCCTAAAAATAGTTTAAACTTCAGCCCCTATTTAGACTTCAAAATAGTCCGCCATCTTTATATGATGACAGTTGCACTTACCTAGGCAACATAAAAATCTTCACTATAGATTTATTTTAGAATTAATTGTTATTTTCCCAGACAGATTCTTGGCTTTTGAATATAATGCTGTGTATGCTCCTATCACAATGTAATGCAGACAAATTTCAGAAGGAATGTCGAGCACTGCCCAGGCCAAAATAAAGGTAGAAACTGTACATGATTTTGAGTATTTCTCTACACTTTTCAATACAGATCTACTATTTTGTAAGAAAAAGTAAGATAACTGGTTTTTGCACATATACAGGGGTGACAATTTTGAAGATAAGTCACACTTTGACAGTTAAAAACAAAACCTTAAAACGTGTGGGATGCAATGAAATGCCTCTTATTGGTATAGCCCCCATGGCTCCCCGAAGCTACCTCACCGAGATGACGCCTCACTACTGGGTCATTTTAGTTGCAGGATTCCTGTTTGGCCTACAGGAGACCAGAGCCAGAACCCCCCCCCCCTCCCCCCCCCCACACACACACACACACAGAGGAGCAGGTAACAATTAGCGTCTACCTCCTCAGGAGGTAGATGCTAATTCAGAAAGCCAGCAAAGCTTTATGGGTAAGTGTAAGGTTCATTGAAAACGGCCAATCAACACTGCAACCAATTTAGTCAAAATAATTGGTTCACTATAAACTAGCTCAAACCTGCTAATACTGATGGCCACCACCAGGTGGCCCAGAGCCTGCAGCCCACAGCTGGCTCAAAGGTCAGCATTTCATTATATTCAACATTGGTATTCTGGGAGGAGTCCCTTGGCAGCTCCCTGAAGCTAACCACAGAAAAAGGAAAAAAAAAAGGGGGGGGGGGGGGATTTGCCAATTTTGCAAATGAAAAAAATTGTAATTTGCCCCCCATGGAACAGGGGGGCCAACAAACTGTCAACCAAAAAGGCATCTGTAGATGTAGAACTGGTGGCATGCACATAGCTGAGAAGCACCACCACCACCACCACCAGGCACAGCAAAACCTTTACCTCTGGGCAGAACAGCTAAGCATCAATCACTAGAAGCCAGCAGATTCATTCTTTGCCAAAAAAGGAGGAAGCTGCAGACGAACACTGCCCATCTTGGCAAAAAGAACCGACTCCCACTGCCTGTGAAGAAAGCATGAAGTAACGCTGCAGACAGAGGAGCCACAAAAACACTGCTTTAAAAAATCTCAAACTGAAGGGTCATCCAAAAGCAGAGGAGGAAAGGAACACTAGTGCCTTGCCAAGAGACTAAGATGGCTCAGGAGGAACACGAGACAGCTGTAGGTGAAAGAATGCCCGAGACAACGTGTTGAATGGAGCCGAAGCCATATCAATGCCAAGTGCAAGCAACAACAGCTCTGCCAATGCCAAATAATAAGATACCAATATCAGGCATGTCCAAAAACCAAGGCAAAAAGGATAGAACTAGCGAACTGACACCACAGAATGATGATGAAGGGACAGCAAGAGGCAAAACGAATACCAGACAACTTCATACTGCCACAGCAGAGAAAAGTGCAGGTGCGACACCAATAACCCAGCCACCTGCTCCACATACAAATGGTGATAGACCCACATCAGAAATGCCAGAGGCATAAATCAGACAGAGAAGGCAAATCCAGCGAGACAAGGCGACTCGCTGGCATGGCGTGCACAGGAGACAAAACCCCCAGCTGGTAGCCAAAGCTACCATAAACAACTCTAGTGCAGGCGGAAAAAAGTGCCAAGGAGCTGAAACCCAAAAGGCCTGAAGAGAAAAACAGACAAAAAAAAGTCTCCACATGGCCTCTGTGGTCTGCACTCAACAGTCATGGCAGCAGTAAAAAGGGCTGCCCTGGAAAAACTGGAAGACCACTTTCAGCCAGACTCGGGCTAGCATGTAAACTAAGCCAGCCAAGTTCTGGCTGCCGCACAGCAGCTATAGAGATTGCCAGGAAATCCCTGCTCTGCACCACAAAATAGATGAGAGATGCAGTGCAGGCATGCCTTCCTCTACAGAAGGAACCTCGCAAGGAGGAGGCAGCAAGCATGGAAGATGCCACCATCTTGTCTCCATGAACGATCCTGCAGGGGTGCAGTACCAGTACCTACTGGCCCAGGCAGAATAGGGTAGCTGGATGTGTCTCATATACACTTCCAAACCCCCAACCTAGAAACAGTGTAGGGAGGGCTATGCCACTAGACCTCAACATTAAGATAATCCATAATACAAACACAGCAGCACATACCCTTGAAAACAGGGCTCAACGAGACAACACCTCGAGCCAGAGTATAACCCCTACTCTACTTGACTGCCATCAGGTGGCAGCCAAAGTCCCCTCGGGTTCCAGCCAGCCTGTTTTTTCACTCAATTGCCTGATCGCACTACAACATCTGACTGTTATCCTCCATTGCCTATCTACTTTTACACCGTAATTGTTAAAGCTCTTCTAAAATCTGCCACCAGGAGGATTTGTGGTCCAAAAACAATAGAAACTTTCTTTCACAACTATATACAAGTTTTGAAAGTTTCAAGCTGATAAGTGAAGCCAGTCTAGATATTGCAAACCCTACAAAAAATTTTTTTTATTAATTGTTTAAATTAAGATATCTTTTCGGGTTAATAATCTAATAATCAGTGAAAATTCAGAGGATGCCACATTAAATAAGGGTACAGAAACAATATGCAATTTACCGAAGTAGGAATGTCACCAAAGAAGAATGGTTTATCTCCTAGAAGGTCTGAAAGAACTGTCAAGTCATTGTGTCCAAACTCCTCGATCTCCTCGGGCTTGTGAACTCCAATTCCATGTGCACGAACTTTCTTGGCAGCCTGATAAATACAAGAGCTATTAGGTTGGAAACATTGTATAATACATGTACAGTATAATAAATTCAGCTTTAGGCAATATTTCAAACATAAATGCAAACCTACACACATTTAAAGCAGCCAATAAACTTAATTTATCTATGTTTAATTTCAATAAACAAATTAACTGGTATTGGTTGGGGAGAGGGGAACTACTGGACAAACTAGAAGAGACTGGGCAGTAATAGAGTTGGGAAGAAGCAGAGACAGGCACAACAGATGGCAGCACGGCAGGAGGGAGGTGGCAACGGCAGCTTACCCTCCTGAATTTTAGCTTGAAGATGAATTCAAGGACAGGCTTGGGCCACTTCTTTTCAGTGATCTGCTGTAAGTCCATCTTGTAGGCACCGAGCATGCCAGCAGGATTCTTGGTGCGCCAGGACTTTACCACCCTACAAGAAAAAGGACACCCATGCAACATGCTGGTTTGTAACGGTGGCCCTGCCAGGTGATACTAGGCACTACAGAGGTTAAAATATCTCTGGAGGATTTCACTGGTTTGTAATTAACAAGCCTTACTGAATGAATACCTCGAGATTTTTTAATTCTGGAAATTTTCCAGGAACTGTGCCAACTATTGACTGACCATGGATGTGCAAGACTGCACGAAGGATCCTGCAGGTTTGCTGTCTGCACAAGGACACTTACAATAGTGAAAATTATTCATAGTGACAACAGGAGCAGCAGCAGGAGCACCAACAGTTTTTAGCAGCAGCAAGATAGCAGCAACAAGAAGGTGATAAGCAGTAGAGTGTGTTACTAAACATGTCAGTGCTAAGCTACAGGTGTTAGGTTACCATTAAGATGTGAAAGGAAATCATAACTTCCTATTGCTCTTAAAGCAAATACCAAAGCAATTGGGACATTATTATAATCCTTTGTTAAACCACTGTTTTGATCAGTAGACGTGTGCTGGCTGACCTGACGGTAACGCAGCTTGAAGGCAAAGATGAGGACTGCATTGGGAATGCGGATGTTGAGGGCCTGTTGGAGATTGAGCTTGGCTGCCCTAACCCAATCACCAGGGCATCGGGACCGCCACGACTTCACCACCCTTAGAAGAATACCCAATACTGAAGTCATGATACCATTTACAGATGCTAGGTTAGTTTATTTTGAAGGTGAATGTTAATGGGAACCCTATTACACATGCAAATTACTTCTAACCCAGTTACAGTACCATTAGAGAGTCAGTAGCAAAGCAAGTGGTACATCCCAGTGGGAAAAAATACTGCAAGAAATTAAAAGAAATTTCACCAGTGCTAGAGACTACTTATTAGGGGGTTTGGAAAATTCAGTTGCCAAGGGGGTCACTGCATCAGTCCATTTCGTGCTTATGGTGACACCCACCGCTTTAAGTTTACGCTTAAAGAGGAAGTTAAGGATGACTGTCGGTAGAGCTCGCTGGGTCACCTGCTTCAGATCCAACTTAAATCCCTGAATCATTAAATCAGGATTGTTGTAGAAGAAATACTTCACTACCCTGAAATTGTTAACAGAATTTTAATTAAAAGTTTTGGGCACTTATTAGAAAAACAATACAGTAGTTATAAACAGGTAATAAGGTAACAGAAGCTAGAATGTAGGAAAGGTGGTGAATGACAGGAGCAGCAGCAGCAGTGATGGCAGCCACAGTGAGCGACTCCCGCCAGATGTGCACCAGACAGGATCAATAGTAACGCCACTTCCATGTTCCACACGCTCGGTCTCCCTTGCACAATCTCAAAACTACAGTATTCTCATTGTCACATAGTTTTATGAATATAAAACTAAGTTCATTTATAATCTGGTCAACCAACACCTAATAATATCCAGAATGATATCTGCACACTAGGACCAATCAGTTGTTGCAGCTACAACAATGGTGCCAGTTAGCATGCCTATATTCAAGGCAGAACTGCCAGGTAGAGGCCACAGGTTGCTCCCAGCAACAGGCACAAATCCAACAGTTCTTTCCTTTTAATGTCATCTTCAAAAAATAATGTTAAGATTAATAATATTCCATAAATGGTTGCAAAACTTTCAGCAGTACCCATACTGTTAATGAGAACTCTTTACATCTTTAATAGTTTCCATAATTCTTGTGCTATGTAGATATGCTACAATTAACTTTTTATCATGGAAAGACAGTAGATACTTGTGAATATGTTTCTGCAGCTTATTTTTATACATTACATCAACTGGGATGTTTAAATTCCCCATACTGGTATTGAACTTGATCTTTACCAAACCAGCATCATAAAGCACACACAACCATTGTTTCTCAAGTCAATTAGCTCTAAGAAAGTTGCCCACACACAAGTGCAGAAACATGCTGAAGAAGGAGGTCAACTTTTTCCTATTATATTAAATTAAGCCCAATCCACTAACAACAACTGCCTCCCACAGAATATGAACTTTTTGGACAGCCACTTCTTTTCCATTTAATGACCCTGGATGGTGCAGGAGCAGTAAACAGCTGGGCGAATGTTGTTGTTGTTGTTGTTTTAGATTCAGCTACTCGGAACAAAAAGTTCTGAGTAGCACGGGCTATGGTGAGCCCGTAGTGAAGTGAAGGAATACCTGCTTGGTGGAGTTCTGGGGGGTTTTCTACTCCCCAAGCCCGGCCCATGGCCAGGCTTGACTTTTGAGAGTTTGGTCCACTAGGCTGTTGCTTGGAGCAGGCTGCAGGCCCACATATTCACCATAACCCAGTTGAACCGGCACTCATTGGAGAAAATTATATAGTTTTCTCTTGAAGATGTCCATGGTTAGTGGACATTAGGGTTAGGAATAGTGCCCAGGTCATCCCACTCTTCACATAAGGATTTACACACTTGCTTAGATATAGATAAATAAAAGATTGAAGTCTAGGACAGAAATTACAATAATGTAATTTATCAATGAAACATCATATTATTGCAATTTCATTGTGCATAGACAAGTCTGATAGAACTTCCGGTTGAGATACTATTAGGCTCATCATGGTATAGTGAGTGTGTGCGAGAGTGAGAGATTACAAAAGTGTAGCTACAGAACTGTACCTCGATGGGATTCTGGGAGTTCTTCTACTCCCTAAACCCAGCCCAGGGCCAGGCTTGACTTGTGAGAGCTTCGTCCATCAGGCAACAGGGATGAGAGTTACACTTGTGGTGTCCTGTCTTCCCAGCACTCTGCCATATGATGCTTTCAAACTATTGACAGTTTTGGCCTCCACCACTTTCACTCTTAACTTGCTTCTACCGTCTACCACTGTTTAGAAACAAAAACTTTCTAATATATATTTTGGCACCATTGTTTCCTTAGCTTGAATCTATGACCCTTGTTCTTTATGTTGCCAGCTTCTGGAATTCCTCTTGGTCAATTTGGTCAATTTCCATTATTGTGTATGTAGGTAATCATATTGCCTCTTTTTCTTCCGTCTTCTATCTTTGGCATGGTGCAATAGGCATGTTGTGAGAGAAAACTATTGACATCAAAGGCCCGTGACTTTTCAACGCTCTTCTCCAACACATAAGAGGCATAACTGGCCAACCTCTTGCAGCATTCAAAAGAGAACCTAACAAATACCTTCAAAGGATTTCTGATCAACTAGGCTGTGAGTAGCTGCATCGAACAGCCTGATTGGTCAGACCAGCAACCAAAAGGCCTGGTCTGAGACTGGACCACAGGAACATTGATCCTCAGAATCAACAGGTAGGTAGTTAGGTCAGGCCTAGAGTATGCAGCTCATGATGGAATACACTCTTTGTAGAGCACAATTGGAAAATTGTGAAAACTGCTTATCCGTAGAGGATGCACTTGCTATTTTTGTCCAGACAGGCTTCTCAAGCAGCACACCAGTGTCCTCAAGGTGGCCAGAACACACTTTCTTCTCCACTTTGTGGTGTGGCGGTGTTCTAAGAGAGAACAGGCAAGTAAAGAAAACAGGGGTAAAAGGCCAAAGGGGGTAAGTGAATAATTCATATGTAGGTGGGTGTATGTGTGTAATGTAAGTAGTTTAAATGTTGTGTAAGTTAAGTGTAGTGAGAGTGAGTAGTATCAGGTGGCCTGGAGACTAGTCCTCTTAAGCCACCTGTTATGCCACCAGCACCACTTCTTGATCAAGGCCCTCACCCCAGACAAAGCTGCCCGAAACCTTTAGACATTACTTATCAAATTCATCCTTTTTGGGCAAAACCAAAATATACTAAAACAAAAAACTATAGTCATTCCATCGTTTAATTGCTTATACTTACAAGAAGCATGTTAAAAGATTCAGGCATTAATGTCTTGACAGCATAGTTGTCTGCATCACAAACTCACAACTAAGAGTGTGTGCTAACAATCTTAGATAAAGTTCAAAATCCAATTAATTACAGCAAAATACCCCACCCTACCATTCACGTGATGGGGGAGGGTGGATTGATAGAGTAAATAAAGACAGGTTATTTAGTATGAGTGGAACTTACACTAGGGGTACACAGGTGTATACAGTACAGAATATCCAAATAAGCCACAGAAACAGTAGAATTATTGTTTTCATTGCCAGAGTAGTTAACAAATGGAATGCCCTTAGAATGCAATATAGTGCTTGCTGACTCGATACACAGTTTCAAATGGATAGAACCCAATATTCTTAGGAACCTGGACACCAGTTGAATGACAGTCAAGAGGTGGGACCAAAGAGCTGAAGCTCAACACCCTAATCATAATTAGGTGAGCACATATACTATAGTAACACACTAATGCCAGTAAGGTGTTTAAAGTTCCTTATAATGGACATGTAATTTGGAGACTTGGGTAATGGATGCCCAAATGAAAAATTAAAACTCATAAAAGTAATATGAATGCACCTACCATTATTCACACACATGTCCCTGCTTGTTGTGGAAGCCCTAAATGGTCATTAATGGCCATAAATGGTCATTAATGACCATAAAGTTCCCAAAAGAGCCTGTTTCCGAACTCACATCATATGGTCTTCTGTTTGAATTGCTTGCACATACCCATGCATATCAGGTCTCTCTGCCTTAACTAATGTGTGTAGTGTCACCCCAACACTGTACCTGATCCAATGTTAGAGGGGGAGGCCAGCTCCACCCCCAAGGTCCTGAAGCATCCATACCACTGGTTTCCTCTCACCCCACTTGAATATCACAGTCCCTCCTCCACTCAACAGATACAGCCCTCACAACCCTAAGCCTGGCTCCCACCCATCCCCCACTTCCTGGGGGCCTGACTCCCACCCATCCCCCACTTCCTGGGGGCCTGACTCCCACCCATCCCCCCCACTTCCTGGGGGCCTGACTCCCACCCATCCCCCCCACTTCCTGGGGGCCTGACTCCCACCCATCCCCCCCACTTCCTGGGGGCCTGACTCCCACCCATCCCCCCACTTCCTGGGGGCCTGACTCCCACCCATCCCCCCCACTTCCTGGGGGCCTGACTCCCACCCATCCCCCCCACTTCCTGGGGGCCTGACTCCCACCCATCCCCCCCACTTCCTGGGGGCCTGACTCCCACCCATCTTCCCCACTTCCTGGGGGCCTGGCTCCCACCCATCCCCCACTTCCTGGGGGTCTGGCTCCCACCCATCCCCCCCCACTTCCTGGGGGTCTGGCTCCCACCCATCCCCCCCACTTCCTGGGGGTCTGGCTCCCACCCATCCCCCCCACTTCCTGGGGGTCTGGCTCCCACCCATCCCCCCCACTTCCTGGGGGTCTGGCTCCCACCCATCCCCCACTTCCTGGGGGTCTGGCTCCCACCCATCCCCCCCCACTTCCTAGGGGTCTGGCTCCCACCCATCCCCCCACTTCCTGGGGGTCTGGCTCCCACCCATCCCCCACTTCCCGGGGGTCTGGCTCCCACCCATCCCCCACTTCCCGGGGGTCTGGCTCCCACCCATCCCCCACTTCCCGGGGGTCTGGCTCCCACCCATCCCCCCACTTCCTGGGGTCTGGCTCCCACCCATTCCCCCACTTCCTGGGGGCCTGGCTCCCACCCATCCCCCCACTTCCTGGGGGTCTGGCTCCCACCTATTCCCCACTTCCTAGGGACCTGGTTCCCACCCATCCCCCACTTCCTGGGGCCTGGCTCCCACCCATCATACACTTCGAGGGACCTGGCTCCCACACATCCCCCTCACGTCCTGGGACCTGGCTCTCATCCATCCCTGCCGTCATTTCATGGGACCTGGCTCCTGCACATCCCCCACTTCCTGGGACCTGGCTCCCACTCATTCCCTACCCTCACTTCCTGGGGCCTGGCTCCCACCATTTCCCCCCCCCCATGGTCTAAAAACGGAATTCCCGGGTACACAGTTTTAAATTCCATATTTCACACTATCCTCAATGATACACCGTATTAACTTTATCCATGGTTAAGGTTTGGTTTGAGTAGACAATATTACTATTTATGTAGTCGTTCCCAATCCATTTGAGAGGATCTCCTCTCCGAGGACAGGTTGGTGGTTTGATTCCCCTCTCCCTACATTTTGCTCCCCCCACACTATCTCCCAGCACA